TCCCAGATGTATCCTTGAAGGGACTCTGTCTTGGCGGGAACCCGCTTCGGGGTGGTTCAAAGGGGGCCAACTTGATGGTCCGAACCCCTTTGGCAAGTTTTAAATACCAGCTTTGCCGCCTTAAACCAAACTGTCAGTTTTAGAGGGTTGCAAGTCAACACCAAACTGACCCGAGTTCCAGCGCTGATCCGCGGGAATCCAGGGCACGCGCGATGGCGGATGGTGGATCTCAGAGGCGATCTCGTCCTCTGACGAGCCAAACTGTAGGCTCTCCCCAGTTTCGTGGGGGCCTATAGCAAGCCCCCAAAAGCCGTTGGGGTCCCCAGAAGCCGTTGGGGTGTCGTTGGGAGGTTTCAAATTTAGGGACCAAGACCCCCCCTTGAGACAAGCCCAATGCCTACTGTATGCAATGAAAAGCCAAATCGTACGCTTTGACTTCAGCATTCCTTCACGGACCCTGAAGGTGTCTTTATGGGGGCGTCATTCTTGGAATTCAGCTTCAGCTTTAGAGCTGATGAGCCCATGATGGGTGAACAGGCGTATGAACAGAGCAATATCGCTCTCTTTAAAAAGCTTCATGATTTGCCTGGACATAGGTTTGTGCCAAAAGGTGCTCGAACTGGGAAGTTTGGATGGGGGGTATTCGGGGAATGGTTCGCAGGAACTGAAGCTGCTGCGACATTTGCGCTGACGATCTGTCGTTAGCGCAAAGGTATCGTTCGACGGATGGTTCGGGTATGATTCGGGGTGTGGTTCGGAAGCAAGGTTTTTCTGCCGTAGCAGTAGGAGTAATGATAGTGCTACAACTACTTTTACTACTACTACTACTACTACTACTACTAGTACTACTACTACTACTACTACTACTACTACTACTACTACTACTACTACTACTACTACTACTACCATTACTACTAGTAGTGGCAGTAGTGGCAGTAGTGTCAGGAGTAGTAGCAGTAGTAGTAATAATAGTAGTAGTAGTAGTTGTTGTAGTAGTAGTGGTAGTAGTACCTGGCGTTGTGGTTCGGAGGTATGATTCGTGATGGTTCGGGGGTATGGTTCGCACAGGTCGAACTTCCATCCTGTACTAAACCTTGCGCACCTTAAACAGGAACACACCCACATGTTTATAGAACATATACGCCGTCCCCCTAATCCACACCACATGTCAAACGCCTTGCGGCCTCTTGGCCAATGATGGACCAAGTTAGTCAGCTTTTCAAGTGTCAACAAACTGCCAATGACCTCTTTACAGGAACACGAAGCTGCCTGGCATCCGAGTGTGTCTGTCAAAAAAAGAAAGCGCCCTGGGTGGGTTTTCACAGAAATCCCATGAAACACTGATGGTGCCAATCCCATTGCTCTAAAAACATTTTATGTGGAGCAACTCCATTGCACAGTGTAATGAAGGCTTGCCGGCCAGTCAGCCAGGTTGGCGTGTCTAAATGACAATCCTTCAGCGACCTGTCATGAACGAAAGTTGCCCCCAGATTGGTTCAAACTCTTTCAGAACTTGGATCCTCAGCCCTCCCAACAATACGAGATCCATTCAAAACCCACCGACCAGGTAAGAGTGCCTGCAGTCCCATGACCCATGACCCTTTTGATATGCCAAATCTAAGATTCTTTCTTTCGGATCTTGGAGACCTTTTGTCGAAAGCGATTCCCCCCGACTTGAATCGCTCCTCGAAAGCCAAGCCGATGTCGATGAGCTGGGGCACCGCCACGCACATGAAGGCCCAAACCTCGCAGGCTGCGACTCCAGCTCCCGTCGATAAAATGGGCGCAGGGTGGGACAACTTCGCAGGCTCTGGGCGCGGCGCCCCAGCAAAGATCCACAAGATGGAGGTGATCAGGGACATGTTCCGGAAGATCCTGGCGAACTTGATCTCTCTTTCCGAACTTCCCCTGACTCCAAAGCACACATGCAAAACCTTGACCCCTGAGACGTGACACATGCATCCGAGACGCCATGATGGCCCTGTTGAAGTGAGCTGTGATTTTTTGGGGTGCACACACATCGCACACCGTCTTGGCGGACTGGACTTTGTTTGGGTGCCGGATACAAACTACAGATGATGCCCTGTGCAGACTCATTTGTGCAATCAGATGGAGATGATGAGGAGCTAGTTGACAAAGAGGAAGCACACACTTGCAAGACTTGCTTCCTTACACAGCAACAATAGAAGCCACACAAATCCAAACAGGAGGAACCTTGTCAAGGGTCACGGTGCCTTCGCGAGGGGTTACAGGGAAGCCACTCTGCTTTCAGTTTCGCGGGATCATGAACCTCGGTGGTAAACAGACTCCATACAACGCTTGTAACGAAACAGGCTCAGCCAACTCAAATGCTCAAGACGAAAAATTGGTTCCAAAGTGGAGACAAATTCAAGAGCCTCCACTCTACTGCACATTTTACAATATGTCCAAAAGCTGAATTCAGGGATCCCCAAGTAAAGGATCTTTACCCTGGTTTTCGCTGGTTTTACCCCCGGCTCGGTGAGCACCGTGGCCAAGCCCTCCCTTGGCCGGTGGGCGGGGCGTCGCCTCCAGGGAGCCGCACCGGGCGCCTCTTGCTCATGGCCTGTGACAATGTCCTCGTCCTTGGCCTGCCCCGAAAATGTCAACCCTGAGGAATCAGAGATGGGGATGGGTCCCGGACCTGGACTTGTCAACTTGTGTCTTTGGAAAAACCTGAAACCAACCAAAAGGGGGTCCACCAGATTGAGAAACAGTCCCATGCCTCCATTTGAGCGGCTCGATTCTGGCACATGATGCATGAGGCCCTTTGTCGGCCAAAGCCGGCGGCCTCAGGAGCAACGAACATGAAGAAGTTGCTGGGCGACGGAGAGATACCGAAGTTGGCGAAGTCTTCGGTGTCCTTCTGCTCCTTCACAAACACAGGAACCCACTGGAACCAAAAATGACGCGCAGGTTTGAGGCGCGGCACATCTGTTATCGGCGAGTGAGAGCAGCTTCGAGCCACCATGTTCATTGACGGAATCTGCACGAGTGAGTTGGGTGTGCGTCTTGACCCCATGAGTCTGGACAACCATGCAAGCTCCGGGTGGGTTTGTTTCGGGGGTTCCTGACAACCGGAAGTGGCATTCTCCCTCAGTCAATGTTCTAAAACAGCCATGAATTGGCTACCCAATTAAGTATGTTCACAACCGGGGACCCTTAAAGTGGCTCATGGTTCCTTGTGGTCTGCCTGAAAAAACATCCCTGCACGGGTAGACTGGCCGTGCGTCTAACCCCTGAAACATGGCGCGTCCCTCTCGTTTGACGCGAGAGAGGTCCGAAAGATTCACTGGAGCGAAACACATGTTGCTTGCTCTGTCCTCCCTCAAGAGGTCATCCACCTTCTCTCTCTGCCGACCTCGATCCAACGCGTGTTTTATTTCCGCCTCCACACGTCCCTGTATTTCTCCAAGTCCTACCTAGCGTCTTATTTTGCCAAACACCATTGCCGCAAGAAACGAATGCGGGACCATTCCATTTCCCCCCCCCCCCGCCCAAACCTAAAAGAACCAACAAAGGAGCATCAGGAATCAACTAGGTTTGAACGGTCCCATAGCTACCGATAGAGGACCATTGCAATGTCCATTGCTAAAACACCGATAGATTGCTCAACACTATTGCCGCAAAAAAAAGAAAGGGGGATTATTCCATTGCCCCCCCGCCCAAACCTAAAAGAACCGACAGAGAACCATCAGGAATCAACTAGGTTCGAATGGTCCCATACCTACCGATAGAGGACCATTGCAATGTCCATTGCTAAAAACGGATAGATGACCATACCTTTTTAGCAATGGACATACCTCTGATATTGGTTCAATGACCATTCCTAAACACCTTGATATTGAATCCACACCTCAATGACCACGGCTCGACTCCAAGCCTCCCCTAAGGCTTCGGCTGCCGGGCGGCATAAAGGTCACTGCATCCCAGAAGTCCTGCTTCGTAGGGTCATATGCACATATGCATATGCATATATATATATATATAATAAGGTATTCTATTTATAGTATTATTATGTATAACATTAGCTGTTCATAATCTACAACTTACAGTTTCAATAAATATGTTTTGTGATTTGTTGTGTTCATTGTTTCCAGCAAGACTGTACCCTCCAAATCCTCTGGAGTAGAAGACATGTTTACGCTCCTTGGGCCTCCTTTGAAGAGGTCTTCGCAGGTTTCCATCAAAAGCTAATCGCCGTGTTGTAAGTGGGCCAGGCTAAGAACACACAGGGGCCGAAGGGCCAAGAGGCCCACTTTGCGCATGGGAGCATTGGAAGGTTATTTGTGCGGAATCCAATGCAGCTTGTTCTCCTGCCAATGGCCAGCAACTCTCAATTCCACTCGTAGGCGGCTTTCAGGGCGACGGATGTTTCCGCTTGAACAAACACAAACTTCCAAGACTTGGGCGACAAATGGCGCAAAACCGGGAGCCCTGTTGTTTTTTCCCCCTGCCTTTCACCAGAGGTTGGAGTTGGGCAGATCCTCCCCGTAATTGCGCTCTGTGCATGGCAAGGGGGCCTGACCCAACACCTCTGGGACCTTCACGCCCTTTTTCATCAGGCACAGCTCAGCTCCAGTCTTAGACTTCCTGAGGAACGCCAGCCAAACAATGGGAAAATCCACGATGCAGGGTGGCCCGGTTGGTTGATTCATGGCTTTGGTATTCCAAGAGGAACCCTTCACTTCTAGGGATGCCATTTATTTCCATTGGTTGAGAGACCACCCTGCGCCTATCTAGAGGTCCAAATGGGGCATTCGTACGGAGCTTCCCCCAAACATGGGCCCATGCGCTTCTCAAGCTGCGAACAAGCTGAGCCATCCAACGAACTACTTGCCAAGGGCCTGTATCTCCCAGAAAGTGACTCTGACTGTGGTTCGCCCCATGAACCGGACTGTGAGATGAAGCCCGGGGTCTCAAGATATAAGATGCTCGGAAACTTTTGGGTTTCCCCTCAAAGTTTGGTTCTCCTAGTCGGGTGTTCCGACACATCTCGAGACACCTAGGCTCACCCTGCCTGAAGGGTTGCGAGCTTCCGCTTTCGAATTCGCTTTGTACAAATCGAATTTTCCCATCCCTACCATGGTCTCTCAGCCAGCCGGTGGACCCTCTGTGCGGGGAGTGCCTGACTCGCAGAGATGAGAACACCTAACATGCCGTGCAAGGTTCAAAACTCACCCCAAAACGACAGCTCTTGAGGAATCGACGCCTGGGAGTACTTGAGAAAACCCAACATGCTACTTTAGAACTGTTGTTTTCTTAACTTTACACCCCCAAACCACCCTGAGGGAAGCCCTGGGAACGTCCATGGGATTCGTGAGGTCTTTCTTTTCATGCCCAGCTTGTCTCAACACGGCCTTGTGGTCGGTGTCTCTTCCGCATCCTGACCGGAGATTGGAACTTGCAAGCTTTCGCAACATCCGATCGCACTCGCCAGCTCTTCAATACCATGCTAAACTCAATCAAACAAACGAGGTGAAAACCCATATATGGGCGTCGCTCTTGCGCTGTGCAAAAAGCTGCCAGGTTGCGGCCACACCCCATTTTCAGACCCTATGGGTGCGCCTGTTTTTAGGGGACCGCCCAAAAATATGGTTTTACTGCTGACCTTTGAAACCACCAAAAAAGGGTACACGCAAAAAGACACACCCCTATTTCCAGAAAATAACATTGAATAAAACCATTGTGTTCCCTGAGTGAGACTCGACTCCTCGGCGGCAGGTTCACATTGCCGGGCCAATGCACGGCACCTCAGGGCCGTGGAAAGGTCTGGTGCTGAAGCCGATACAATGACAGCACGAGTTGCAATATGTTTCTTTTCAATGAGAGGAACCCACAAAATGTGTTTCCTTTTGTTGTCCATTTCAACGTTCAAAAGGGAGACCCTCAAAATTTCTGCCTGGTGCTTTACGTGGCGAACCATCATGGGTGAGCTCGTTTTATCACTACATGAGCTCGCTATTCAGCGAGCTCATGAGATGTTCCCAGTCAAGACTTCCAGAAAACAAAGCCGGTCCTTTTGCCACCGGTTTGCCGCCAAGTTTGGCATACCTCCAAGAGAACCCACTCTTTTGCTTCTGTTGTGGGTTGTCATGTGTCCAAAAAGGTAGTCATTGTAGTCCAAAATCGAACCGCCCTGTTTAAACATGGCGTACGGTACCCACCATAAAGGGCATTTCCTCATGTTCAGAGGTCTTAAGGACTCCGGGTTTCTCATGAGTCAGAGCCAATTCCACTGGAAAAACCGGTGAAGCAATCCCACGCACGTACGTGCCTTGCGGTGGGGAGCAGGACTCTGCACGCAGGTGACTGACTCGCCTCAGCGATCTTCGGCGAACTTGAACACTCCTTGTTCCTTTGTTTTTCCCTGTCTCTGCTTTTCTCTGTCTCTGCTTCTCTCTGTCTCTTTCTCTCCGTCTCTTTCTCTCTGCAATTGTCTCCCACTCTCTCTCCCTCTCTCTCGCTCTGTCTCGGTCGCCCTTTAAATGTTAGCTGCGTTCCGGTCCTCAAGAATGACGTTGTTTGGAGGGGTGCCAACATGGCGGTTGTTTCTTCATCTTCCTTCAGACTCCTTTGCGAATGATACCGCAGGAAAATGCCGTAGCCATAAGCACACAACACAGGCATTTTGCTTTGGTTCACCCTAGGTTAGAAACGCTGCTCCAAATGTTTGCCAATATAGTTGTGTCCTTGAATGACAAGAAGGACCCCGGCCCTGCGCCAACCTGCGCCTCTTAACTTCAAGGCTCGCTTAGGATCTTCAAACAGGGCTGAAAGGCATTTTTCATAACCCTGGTTTGGGGTACAAGAGTCCCTGTACTGATTTCCTAACGAATCTGATGGATCGGGGATTGGCCAACGCCGGAGGTTCTTCGTTTGGGTTCGCCAGCCTGACTCGGCGGTCCAGCTCGTGCGCAGAAGGCACCTGGCTTGTCTCAAAAATCGTTCGTGGCTACCGAAACGGTCGGTTTTAGCTTGCTCTTGCTTTCAAAACCAAAGGTTCGAAACATGAGGTGGACCCAACAGTGTGGGGTCTTTACCCCAGATTGAAAGAGTCTTGGAGGCTGCAAGTGTCTCCTCATGCAGTTGCCCCCATCGGTGCTAGATGACATCAACCGGGCTTCCTATTTGAAATCGCAATCGGCCCCCTACGAATAGTCAACTTCTGACAATTGATAGATTCCTCTATCTATCTATGTACCTACCGATCTATCCGTCTAGCTGGGTATCTGACAATTGATCGATTCCTCTATCTATCTATGTACCTACCGATCTATCCGTCTAGCCTTAGTTCTAACGAGAAAAAAAGGAAGGCCCTCAATGTTATGGGTCCCGACACACCCGCCTATCTATCCATCCATCCGTCCGTCTTTCTACGCACATCCACTTAGCAAAATAGGTGGTGCACATGTGCTCCCTCCAATTCACATGTAACGAGCCAGAAATTGCTGGTCCCAAGAGGAAAATGCCAACCAAGCAGTGACTGCCAACCGCGATAATATGTTTCACACGCAAGAAAGACTAGTGAATCGCTGGCTGTCCTGTGTAAGTTCGGTCACTCCAACCCAACGGGCACTCATGATTCATGATCAATCGCTTAGGGGGTCAATTTTCACACACATCAAAACACAGCTGCAGAGTGTGATGGCTTTGACTTTTGTGCATTTTCCCTATCAGGACTGAGACCTCTCGCAAGTCTTGCTCCTACTTGACTGCATTGTCCGCGGAAAAGTGTGAGCCTTATGTCTTTCCACCACCAAGCTGATGTTCCTAAAGGTATACGGTATACCATCCAAAAGTGTTCGAATGAATTGAGATACTTGGTCGGCATCACCGGACAGCACAGTGGCTTGCCCAAACCATTGAGGCTCAAACCGGGTGTGTGGGGTAAATGAGGCCTTCCCTCCTCCATATTGCCGGGCATGGTTGCAGGGAACCAACTCGCTTTCTGTTCCTGGTTTTAGATTTGCACCAAAGTTTGACGTTTAACGATATGGAATGATCCTCCCAAACTCGTTGAAGTTCATTAAACACTTGGGAAGTCAGGCACAAAAACATGAAGTTCAAACATTCCTCAAAGCAAGTCGAAAAACCGCGCTTGGAATGACCACACGACAAGACCTGCTTGAAGCGACCAACCCGCTTGAGAGCAAGTACTGGCCAACGCTGTCTCGCTGGCGACGCCTGTTCCAAGCAACCAACTCGTTGTTTTGCAGAACCTTCCAGGTTGTGCGTTGACCTTAGGTCTTTCAGGCACACGCTTAGCACAAAGAACATGACATTCTTTCCGGTGACCGCTGGATGCCTTTTGCTTCTTGCAATAAAAGGACACAATGAAGGCCCATAAACAAATCCTCAGAATGACCTTCCGGCGGGCTCCGTGGCATCTAAAACCGGACCCCCCCCCAAGCCATCCAAACCGCATCCACACCTCCGCGCTGGCGGCGCGGCTCGCATCCTCCTCTGCACCTGGGCCGACTGAACGAGAACTGGCTACTCGAGTCAAGTGGTCCAAACGGTTCCTTTCAGGTTCCGTGGTTCCATGCTTTTACTTGGGGACCCTTTGGGGGGCCTCAAAATTCGGGCGGGGATCCATGCCCAACCACTTTGTAGAAAAAACTTTCTGGCATCCCCCCCCGCCCCCCATCAAAGGGCAAACCCGGGGGCCACTGGGACTCCGCGCTGGGCCACGGCCTCGAGTCAACGAATCATCTGCTTCAATTTTCGGTGTCCGAAGCTGCAAGGCCCTCCAATGCAATGTCCATCCGCGTCACAGATCTGGCCGCCTCTCCGCCCTCCGAGGTCCTTCCCCAAACAAGACACAAGCAAGATGCCAAAAAGAGGATAGATATAGATGAAGAGAACTGAATGGATATCTTAAAAGGACTTGTCATGGAATCCCGAACCTTCTTCTGCCGGGTTGAATTCCCGCGAGCAGCTCTCCATCTTCGATTCCGAGAAGGACTGGAAAAACATGGCCAATGTGATAAAGAGGCTTTAGACACAACCCACACTGCTATTAAAGCTGAGTGCTCTGTCACAGCAGAAGCTAGATTGTATGCATCTTGCTGTTCAGTGCCATGTTTCACATGGGACAGCACTTGAGGGAATGCAGAGTCAGCTGCAACATCCGCAAATGCCTGCTGCGATGGCATCATCTGTATTGCACAAACAACTTGCTAAACACCCTTAGGGCATTTGATTGGAGCCGCGCATCATCATCGACATCGATTTAGCCTGAGGATGCTGAGGACATCTTTTGTGGTAGGGCCAGTTTGATCGACCCATCTGAGATCTAAGTCTCCATGTGGTACAGCCCAAGAAGATCCTTGACGGTGGAGTAGGTGGCTAGTGAGGCTGAGGCCATGGGCACGGCCTTGCACAGCTGCGCGCCGACGCCGGCGTAGAAGCCGCAGGCGCCTGCACGGCGGAAGGTCTGGCGGGCGCAGTCCACGACGCCGAGGTACTGACGCGAGCCGCCGCCAGCGCCGTCCAGCTGGAGGTTCCGGGTGAGGAGGTCCATGGGGTACGTGGCTGTGGAAGAGACGGCGCCTGCAAGGACGCCGCAGCCCAGGGAGGCTGCCATCGAGTCACCGTAGCCAGCAGCCGAGACGCGCTCCTTGGCGAGCTCGTACGTAGTAAAGTTGATGCCGAGGGAAGGGGCCTTCTCGAGACAGGCGACGCCTGCGCCGCGGTAGAGGCCGAGCGGGCCCTCGCGCTTGAGGACGTCGGAGAGGGCGGAGAGGACCGAGGGTGCTCCCTTGGAGGCGATGCCTGCGGTCTCCTTGGCCACATCCGCGCCTGGTGCGCAAATGATGCGGGTGCGGATCATGTCGAGTGGGTACACGGTGAGAATGGCCGTGCATCCCGCGAGTGAGCCTGCTGCAAAACGAGAAACGGCGCCCGACTGGGTGGTATCGTAGGGCCTGAGGAGCGACTTGAAGACCTCAAAGGAAAGGAAAGAGATGCCCTGGGAGGGGAAGGAGCGGAGTACGTCAAGGCCATTACCGCGAAAGAGGCCGCGGATGCCCTCCCTGCCCCAGATGTCGCGGAGCATGGCCGGGACGGAGCCCGCCAGGGCCCCACGCTGGGTGGCCGTCTGTTTCAGGATGGTCACGCGAGCGAGCGGGGCCCCCACGCTCTTGGCAATGCCGCCGGCAATGCCTCCGGCAAGAAAGATCTTGACGCGGCGGTAGGGGTCCACAAAGTCGTCGAGCACGATTTTGATGTCGCAGATGGGAGCCAGGCGCCAGTACTTGCCGCGGTTGATGGCAGCACGCGACTCGGAGGAGAGCTCGTCCACAAAGCGGTCAAAGTCGAGAGCCCCACCGTGCGCCGTCTGGAGATTCAGAAGCTCCTCCACGGCTGCACGGACAGCTGTGTCTCCACGTTCCGAGTAGAGAGCATTCCGGGCCTTGGTCAGGTACCACTCAGGGGCTCCCTTGTCGCTAGCCTCGGCAATGGCCACCGTGTACATGTCGTGAACAAGGTACGCGAGCTCACGCTTGTCCAGCTTCCCGTCGTAGTTGGCGTCGTACGACTTGAAGATCCGCTTCAGCTCCTCACGCGGATGCCGGGGCACTCCGTGCACCGTCAAGAGCCTGTTCACATGTTTGAGGATGGGCATCTCGGAAGCTTGCATGGCCTCTCCGACCTCGTTCAGTGTCGACATGGCGTGTCTGCGGGTAAGAGACTAGGTCCGTTTGAGAGAGTTTTGCTCGATGTCCCCATCATTTCTGGGACTGGCAGTGGCTATGCGCATCATGTGGGCAACCCCTCACGGTGCCCCACAGGAACATGTGCGGGCAACTGAACATTTGTTTGGCTATTCTGGCATCCGCACATGGTTTTCTCTTGTCCCCAAAAAGGTTGGAGGCAATACTCCAAGTTCGAGCAGTATTCTGAAAGCAATATTATGGCATGAACAACAGCAACCAAAATGATTCCTATGCTCCACACAACTTGGAATAGCAGATGGCGCTATCTATCGTTCCGAAATTTTTGTCAGCCCGCGTCTGCTCCGTCGTTACCATGGTGCCTTGACGACACCTCGCTTATGCGGACTGTAAATAGTTAGTTCAAGCCCAGGCCAGAGCCCATGTTTTTATGGTTATCGAACCTGATGAGTTTGTAGGTGGATTCATCTATCAGCCTGTGCGGCCTGCGAACGGCTTTGATCTCAGCGGCTGTGATAGGCCGAAACATCAAAGGCTGAAAGGATTGAAGCGGGGATAACTAGGTCCTCCAGTAGAGAGGTTAGAATAAGGGTACCCTTTTTCTGTAGTCCATTTTAGTAGGGGAACCTTCCCCCAAAAAAGGGTAAAAGGGCACTACTGGGGGACTTAGATAACATGTAAACATGTTACCAGCAGAACAGAATAGGAAATCCAGGCACTACAAAGGCAAGCGGAAGGAGAACTACGGCCTATCCCAAACTCTATTTTTTGCAAGTGCCAAGATCAACATCATCCCCTGTCTATTAACGCAAACACATTAATTTACCACGGTGAAAGACGCTTGTAGCGAAAGCTGGTCAAACACATAGTATTTGCAAAACTTTGAGTTGACGGATACAACTAGGTTCATAATGTCAGTCTAAGTTCCAACACACCCAAGCTTGCCCTTCACATCTGCGCCTTGGTCCAAACTTATGCGTGAAAAGGTCCATGGTGCTCGGAACCCTCAATAGGAACCCTGACGATGCCCGTCTGAACCCCATGAATTCTCCGACTTTTGGGTCCAGTCGCTTTCAGTGCAGGTTGCAACAAGAGCCCAGTCAGAATGTGACCGACCATGGTTGCCACCAAGCATTGAGGCCAAGTAATTCACTAACCCTTTGACTAAAAGGGGGTCTGTTTGGAAATTGATTTCTAATCGACTTGTAGACTGCCCTAGGCATCTGGAGGAATGACCACCTAGGTCGGCACCAGGGGTGGGCAAGGGATAGCGAGATCCTTGGAGCTGGCCCTCCGAGAATGCCTCGGACCTCCAACATGTTGAAACAATAATCAGTCCCAAAAACCCATGTGTTTTGCTCCTGAAAAAAATGCTTGTGCCACTGTTTGAACATTCTCACCCAGCCTCCCCTTTCGTGTTTATCGGGGTCCAGGGGACGCTTGCAACAACTTTACAATCCCAACCCCTTTCATTCGCTCGTGACCCTGAGGCTGGTGCAGTGGTGACGCCAGACGCCTCGCAGCTCTCTGAAATCCAAACAGAGGGAAGGACAGGTGGCATCCACAGAAAGAGGCTTCCAAACCGTTTTCTAGAGAACATGTCCAAGAGCATGCCCACCAAAGCAGGAAAGTATGTATTTCCGGGTGTACATAGCAATATTCAGACGTATTTGTATTCACCTATATTTACTCTTATAATAGAGATTGGCACAACCGTTTGATGGTCGTACAACCACTATAACTATGAACCATGTCCCCTGTACGTCTTGAGACAAAGAGCAACAAACTTGAAACCCACTCGGAAGACCATTTTCCCACCATCGCTAGCAAGCAATATTGCCTGTCAGCTCGTATGCCCTTTGGAGCGCGCCAGTTGCTTGGCACTCATGGAAGCAATTTCTGTTGCAAAAAGGCTGAAACACCAAGAGTCAGAGGGGACTGGACTCTGGATGCATTCCCATCGAGTTCCCGACATGGTCTCGAATTCACTCCTGGTTGTTGATCTTTCGATGATGGTGGAACAGGGGGACTCGCATTTGTTGACGCACTGAATATGGCTGACTCAAAAAGGAAAGGTTCTGCTGTAATGAAGAAAAGAGTCACTGGCTCATCCATATGTGGCACAGAAGGGGGCTTGAGGAAGAACACCATGCAGCCACAACGTCGTTTATGCCGGCAATCCAAACATGCTCATGTTGCTGTGCAAACATCTGATCATGTACAGCTTGCTGCTGAGGTCCAGAATTCTCCGCTCGGTAGTGGCATCATTGCTGCTGAAAAAGGCTCTGGATGCTGTATGTGATGTTGGAGCGTTGTCCGAGTGGGCTGCCTGGACAATCGCCGACGGATTTTTGCTGATGAAAGCTGTGAATTCACCGCTCCCCCGACTGATTGAAACAAAACTGAGAAACCTATACAGGTGTGTCGTTCTGTAGGGGACCCCTCCAAGCTGGTGGTTTTCCTTTTGGCTCTTGAACCCCGAAATATTGAGAACCTTGAAACAAAAAAACAGACCCATATGAGAAAACAATCTGTGACCCCTTGAAGTACTTGAGTGTTCCAAGTACTGCACAGTGGATCTCGCCGTAAAAGCGCTGTGCCGCGCCAAGCGGCTTTGGGCTCTTGCCGGCTCGAGATCGAACCTGGCGGTGAAAGATTCCCGCGAGGGTCAACACCTTGAACCAACTCGAAAAGCAACCCGAGAACCTGTTCGTTTCGTAAGGGGGCCTTAGGGGACTGAAAAACAACCATTGAAATAACACAACCTGAACAAACAGTATTCAAAAAACAAGCTGTTCGCAAGGGCGCCTTAGGGGGCTGGTTGCTTTAAAGGTCGCTTCACTGCGCCAGGTGTGAAAAATACCTTTTTGTGTGCTGCTTGCTTTGCAGCCCTGGGCTCAGAAGGGGACCTCAGCATGGCCTGTCATGAAGTCTAGCCAATCAGAGGTGATGCCTTAAGGATTGCAAGTAAACAACGAAAGCCCTCTCTTCCGTCTAGCATCTGGGCTGGAAGCAGCCGTCTTCATTTATAACCCTTCCTTTTCATCTCCCGTCTATTTCCCAGATCCCACTCCAAAAGCATTCTTAAGGATCTGGAGGGTAATGGGAGAAAGGACAACATGATGAAGGAAGAAGTCTTGTCCATCCGCTGGCCAGTTCTTTCCAGCGGTTACAAATTGATTCCCTCTTCCTTCATCATGTTCCTTCCCCTTCATTCACCGGCCATTTCTTAGGATCTAGAGGAGCCGGGTGAATCAGAGTTGGGGAAGTGATAGACGGAGAAGGGCCATTCATCTCTAGTACCAGCCCTTCCAAGTTCCTCCACCGTGCAATTCAGCAGAATGTGTGCCTGGTTTATTCGCAAGTCAAAGTCACACGAATTCTGAAGCCTGAAGTAAGAAACCCAACGCCGCTTCCTGAATGAGCTCGCTTGAGCTCGGTTCAAGTCAAGCCTGTGTGGGTGAGAAAATAGGCTCCTTTTGGGTCTGAGACCGATGCATTCGTTACAACCCCTTTTTTGTCCCACATTGCGAGTAGGGAACATAATTCAAAGTGTGTGTGGTTTACCTGCGTCTCGGGAATCAACCACCATGGACCCCACAAATCCCTGTTGGACCACAAATGGGCCGGGTGAACTTGTGTGAGAACTGATCACTTCTAACATACCACTCGAAAATCGAACTTCCAAACAAATAACTCCTGAAGTGTCCTGAGAATGGCTCCCTGGTAGCAAGTGGGCAAAAACCCCTCATCCCCACAACCCTGCAAAAGGCCAATGCTCTGCGCTCGTGCCACCAATCACTACACATTTCTGCCTTTCTGCCGAAGCACCCTTCCACAAAGCAACGTTGGTCCTCCAGTTTAAAGGAAGCCAAAAAGAACGGGTGCGGATTTATTTTGGGAATTTTGTTCGTTCTGTTTTTTTTTTTTTTTCCTGTTTTTCGTCTTGGCCAGCAAAACGTTGTATGTTACTGCAATTTCTCGCGAAATTGAGGTATGTTACACTAGGCCGCCAACATCCCCAGCATCATTTTGCACATCCCCCGCATGTCCAACCAACATCCCCAGCATCACCAACAAATCGTGGGTTAAAACATCAAGAAAGTAGTTGGCGGGCTGACGGGTTCGAAAAAATGATGATTCAACTAGGAGGGCTTCAATCCCTATAAAATATCTAAAAGCAGCGGGGGGGTTGGGGGTGGCGGCACCCCCCCATGATGTTTAAAGAAGTGATGATTCAAATAGGAGGGCATTTCAATCCCTATAAAGTCTAAAAAGTAGCCGGGGTTGGGGGGGGGGGGCAGCCCCCCCCCATGATGTTTGAAGAAGTGATGATTCACATAGGCGTGCAGAAAGTCTAAAAAGTAGCGGGGGGCGGCAGCCCCTGCCATGATGTTCGAAGAAGTGATGATTCAAATAGGGGTGCAATTAAATCTCTGTAGGAAATCCAAAAAGTCGCCGGGGGGTTGGGGGGGGCGGTAGCCCCCCCAATGATGTTTGAAGAATCCTCTGTATGCAAAAAATCCGAAAAGTAGCGGGTTCGGGGGAGGCGGCAGCCCCCCCCCCCCATGATGTTCGAAAAAGTGATGATTCAAGCAGGGGTGAATGATTCAAGAGGTTGGCGGGGGTGGCATCCCCTATGATGCTCGAATAAGTGGTATACATACAGACATGCGTAGATTACATAAAAAGTCGTATTTTACAGCATTTCTTCACGAATTTGGATGTTCGAAAAAGTGATGATTCAAGCAGGGGTGCAAAGATTCAAGAAAGGGTAGCAGGGGTGCAAAGATTCAAGAAAGGGTGCGATAGAAAATAAAAAGCAGCCGGGGCGTTGGGGGGGGGGGGGGTGGCTTCCCTATGATGTTCGAAGAAGTGCATACATACAAAAACACACACACATGCAGAATATAAAGAACACTTGCGGAGAGGAACTGGTGTTGCTGAGGATGCGAGAAGCCAAAGCAATGAAAGGGTGCAAAAGCCAAAAAGAGAGGAACTGGGAATGCAAAGGATGCGAAAAGCCAAAGCCAAAAAGCCACCAAAAGCTGCAAGCCAAGAAGCCGAGAAGCCAAAAAGCCAAAAGCGAAAAAACAAATATGAAAAACAAAAAAACAACTTAAAACAATACCCCGCCAAAAGAAACTAAGACCACTTTGGGGGTCCCGCTATCTTGACAGGCATGTGTCTTTTTTCCTCAAAATAGTGGAACCCTCAAAATGGGTGGTTTCCTCTTGGTTTCCATTCCATACACAACCATCTTAAAAAGGCTACCGAGCCTCAAAAAACCCATGTATGCCAGGTTTGTTTGGGTAAATGTGGTAAATCTTACTCCACACCGACCGGGTAAAAAACAAAAAAATCCCCACGTGCCTCCAGGGCGCTGCTTCTGTGCTCGGGTGGCACCGAGACCGCGCCTGCCCGAAACCCCCGAAGTCCGGAGCCCCACGAAACCGGCCCAAGCAGAGTGGCCATGGGTCATGGAGTCTACGTCGAGCCATTTTGGGGCGGAACACCCACCCATTTTGAGGTTCACCAGGGGTTTCCCGGGTTTTGAGCCACAGCCAAATGTTGGAGGGCAAAAAGGGCAGGGAATGCCAAAAACGTCTTCACAGATTCCGTGATCTGAAATGGGTAGGGCATACAGGAATGTGAGCGGGTTTCGAAAACTGAGCGTCGCGGGACTTACTCGGATGCTTCCGCTCGACCTCGTGCGCATTTCAGATTCGACCATTGCAATACAAAGCTAGCTTGCCCAGGAGCTTCGGAAGCCATGCAGTGAAGTCTTTTGGCCCTTGGCAGTCTGAACCAGATCGCAGGCACTCTGCTTGGAGCGCTACGCTTCCTGTCTCGGGCCATGGGACCAGGGGCTTTCACGGGCCAGCGCAAACCGTGTACTATGTGCTCGGAAGCGCGACGTGGGCGTTGAAAGACCCTGGCACATGTCCTGGTACTTGTAGTGACGGAAGCAGCAGCATCCACTTCGCCGCAGGTTGCATCCCTGCAAAAGAAACTTCCTGTCCCATGTGACGCTGTCCTTGAGACACGTCGTTCAAGCTTACAGTGAGTTCTGAGGGTATGCAAGCTCACATACAACCAAGCTAGGCTGATCAAATGTTGCATGAGTCACATCTCTGAATACATATTATATGGTGTATATATATATAATATATGTATGTATGTAACCTGCATACAACCTGAACGCTTCTCTGAAAATGAATTAATGTATGTGCTCAAGTTTCAATTGGCCGCCGCAAAACAAAGCGTGCCATTTGGAATCCGCTGGACAACCGACACCCAGCTTTCACTTGAGTGGAGTGGCCCTTATTTGTTTTAGAAGCTGGCAAATGGTACCATTTTGGGGTAGGCGCACCACCCATTTTAGTCTATTTTAGTGGGGATTGGGATGTTCACTGGGGGTACGGGATTTTGACCCATGGCAATATGATATGATTCATATGTCTTTCCTTTTTAGGGTGGCTTGAAAGTGTAATCAAACAGAACCCAACAAAATGGTCCATTCTCGATGAATCATAATTCAACCTGAAATAAGGAAGTCCAAAGAAAAGGCACCTTTGTCATAGGGCACACCCTGGTAGTTGAAGCTGCCCTAATTCGCCAAGTGTTTTCAAAGTACCGCCAAACTTGCCAAAGACAAACAGTTGAAGAGGGGTATAAGTTGCAACTGGGCGGGCGCTTTGGTTGACATCATTTGCCTGGAGATTTCTGTCCCAGAACTGCAAACCGCACCTCCCGCATGGGCTCGGGGAATGCTGCTGCTGCGTCCTGTGGGCTCGGCTGTGCTTTGGGACGTTCTCGGGGCTTCCAGGCGAGTCGTAGGCTGATGACGAGGGCTTGCTGTCCGGGCAAGGAACGCCGTTGGGGCTCTAGACGAACTGCCGAGCAAATGAGCCAAACCAAAAAGAGCCTTGAGGCTGAACCTGGGGTCGACGGGGAATATAAGTTGCCCGTGGCCATTGGGAAAGCTGCGAGCCAGTTACCTATGTCGTTTGGAAATGTCGAAATGGGTATTGTCAATGGCCCCGTAATCCTTCAAGCATACCCTTGTGAAATCTTTCAAAAACAAAACCTAGTACACTAAAATAGACAAAACCACGACTTAAATGCAGCGTCAGCCCTCGAAACAAGCACACATCAAATGGCCTAGTGCATTAGAGTAATCCAGGACTGAAACAGGGTTGCGCATACATATTTTGTATATACATACTACGCCCTCGCAAACATCACCCCACCTGCAACAAATTTCAACATCCCAAAGGTGCTGCTTTGATCACAATTCAGCCCAAAAGACCGTGTAGTACCCTGAAAACCCTTGACAGTGTGGCCATGGGTCCAAATCCCGTACCCCCAGTGAACATCCCAATCCCCACTAAAATAGGTTCTAAAATGGGTGGTGCACCTACCCCAAAATGGTACCATTGGTCTTGACCCACAGCCGTGTGACCCTGTGAAGCAAAAAAATGAAAACAAGAGCTCCCCGCCTCTCCGGGAAGCCTGCGTCGCGGAGGCCTGGCGACATCTCTCAAAAACGTGGGGCTGTGAATACCTCCTTCGCTTCAAAGACTCATGTCTGACTTGTCGCTTTTGGGTCATAGGATGCTTCGTTTCAAGGACTCGCTGTCGTTGTGTTGGGCTGTTGTTGCCCCTTTTCCATTCCAATTCCAGTAGTTGCTGCGTCATTTGAAATCTTGGCGCCCCAAAAACCCACTGCAAAAACCTGAAACGGCGGCTGCGCCAAGCCCCTACAACCTTCCTATTCTGGTTTTATTTTTCCTCAAGGGCAAACCAACCCGCGGTTGCCCGGCCGGCGGGCTGCTGGCACGCGGGCTCGGGCGGCCGGAGCGCTCCAGCCTCGGCTTTTCGACGGCTGATGTTGCAAATGACAAAACATCTGCACACCTGCAAGAAGTGCCCGTGATGCAGTGATGCCCGAAAACATGTCAAATGGCCCTTGGGCACATTTTCGGTATCAAAGGGCTCTCCAGGCAGCTAAGGAAAGCAGCGACCAGACGTGTATGCTGACAACCGGATCAGCACTGCCCCCTGTCGATCGCAAGTCGAGACCCTGGTAGATGAGGCCGCGCTAGCGTTTGCCCGACTAGCTTGCACATGGTGCTCTTGGCTCCCTTGCAAACCCTAGGTCGGTGTCATTCGCAAATTACCATAGAGTATCTCACAGTACGCAGGAACTCCCCTTTGGCAAACCACACACTCCCGGATTCATTGAGGTATGGCACCCTGACCCTAGGTGTTTTGGACAACTCGATGTCAGTGGTGAATGAGCAAATGAAACCGGTGGAATCTTACCCACACTGACCTGGACCTATGGAACTAAGGTGACAAAGCCAAGATGGTCATATGGATGAAGCTTGCCGGCTCCATAGGTGTAAGTCCCCCGATTCCAGGGTCGTATCTTGCTCAGCGATGTTTCGCAAGTTCAGGGAATGTGTATGTCTTTCTTTGAGGATACCCCTCTTGTGGGTAAGGGACACCAAAAGGAAACCAAAGATTTCGGGGGCTCCCATTCCTAAAAAATGACACTCACGTCGATCGGCCAGGATTTTCCCACAAAATAAATCAGGCCTGATGAACACGGAGAATTGGGACCTGCAACATGCAGTGATAGCGTTAAAAGCACAGTCGGCTCTTAGCCGCTCTTAGCGCATTCTCCCGATACACACGCAAGGTCGACCCCGAATGAATCAAGCTGGTGGAAATCTTGGAAGGCTACCCAAAAAGTCAAAGACTCCCTCCCAGCGGGTACGCGAAGCCCTACAAACCCTGCCCGAAATTCGAAGCCCAACCCGCCATTCGACCACATCCCGCGCAGCCACTGATCACTGGGTTCCCAACTGGGGAGCTACCGGCGCGCGCTCGCAGGGCCGCAGCTCCAAATAGGCCTCGCGAATTTCGGGGATCCCAGAGTCCAACATGGCACCTGAAGATTTAAGTGCGTGTTTTTTTTTTTTTTACAATAATTCCAACAGCTGAATTAAGAATTGGCTCCCCAAGTAAAGAATCTTTGTCATGGTGAGCTCGTTATGCCCCCCGGTGAGTTCGAGAGTTGATGCCAACCAAAAATACATCTCGCGGCCATGATCCTCGGGTCTGTCTCAAAAGTGAGGGACTCGTTTTGGGATGGTTTGAAGAGGAACCATGAGCCAGCTGCCCCATTACACCCACTTGGGGTCATGGGAAAACCAGTTGGGAGAAGCCCCGATCGGTTTGGACAGAGCAAAGCGCCATTTTGAGATCACAGGAGGGGTGGTCCTGACTGCTTGACGGGTCAGTCGCCTGCCTCCCACGCTTCCCCCACAGATAAAATGAAAAGTCATGGCTTGAATGCATCCCAAGGCCCGTTTTTGACGGCCATGGCAAGTGCAGACATGCTTAGCAGTGATAGCACTCACTCAATAGCGTCCTTGCGGAAACACCAGCAGCTATAGCTAAAGCCACCACATACTGAGTTGGATTTGTCACTTTAAGCTAATTCTCTTGAAGCTCGGCCAAGTCGCGACACGAAGCTTGCAAATCTCCAACGTCCCCGTCTTGCCCCCATAGGCGCTTGGAGCCTCCAGAAAAACTTGTTTGCAGCAAAGTCGCCAAATATGGTTTGCCTCAGGCAACTGCTGAAACGCGGAAAGGTAATCTCAGTCTAAACGCGCCGCAGCCCGCCTCACAGGCTGAGGAGAAGAGGACCCGGGAGTAGGCCTGGCGTAGACGGGCCGCATATCAATGGGTCTGTCTTTTGAGGTTACAAACCCACATTGCTTGCAGTCCACTTTCCATGCAACCCGTGCGGCGCGTTCTTCACGCCTCCAGCGTCTGCAGCCAGGTGCGAGCCGCCGTGCTGTGCTCCTGTAGTTCCTCTGCGAACATTGGCACACAAATCGGCCGGCTTCTGCCAGGATTGATGGACATCCACCCGCTTCCTCTCGGCGTAGGAACGAACTTTGTTCTATGCCCCTCCAAAACCCCAACTCTTTGTTTCAGCTGGGGATGCGTTTTCAGCCCGCATCCGTCCATCCGTCCATCCGTCCTCCATCTCCCGGTGAATGGCGTCCAGCAAAGCCTGGCCGGCCCCGGGCAGGCGGCAGCCCAAGTCCTGCAAGGAGCGGCTTCGCAGCAGGCACCAGCCGTGCACGAAGTTCCGTTGAAAAAGGCTCCAACTAAGACTCACTTCCTGAGTGATGTTGACCCAAGACTAATCAACCCGTTGATTAATTGGGGGGGGGGTGAACCCCAGTCAGTTGATGAAAAGGGGGGTGTCCAACTGGGTTTAGTGGGGAATCATCACTGTTGGAGGGCAAAATCCCTTCTAAAAATGAACTGGGGTTGACTCATATGGGGTCAACATTCGATTGGGCAGAACAAGTGCAAACATGTTGCTTCCACTGATTTGGTCCAGCCCCAAAAAGCTTGAAGTCCAGGAACTCAGGAAGTGAGAATCGCGGTCGCCCAGGGAAAACAAAGCCCCCTTAAATCAGTGCCCCCGTAGCTCCCCGAGACAATTGCTGACCCACCCTGCAAAAATGGCCCCGGACATCCCCCAAAAAGCAAAGAACATGGACAAGCATCAAACCGGAAAAAAAGCAAGAATCCAAATGACACATTGAACTGAATGAAAGAGAAGGCGGTCAAGACTACAATGTCGGAAGAAACAACAACCACCACCACCCCCTTAATGCACCCACCCCCCACCCCAAAACAAAAAACAAAAACACACACAAAAACATAGCATTCATTTGAGCAATCCCACGCATGGGGGATTAACTGCTGGAGAGGGAACCAAAAACACATGATTCCTCCAACATGGTGACATCGTGATTTGTTGCAGCCTCCCCAATGGCTCGAACAAAGCTCGCTGTTCATTGGAAGTCAGCGAGATCAACATGGCCGCGGCCAGAGCTCTGGCGGTTTCGTCGGTTTCGCGGGGAGAAAACCTGAATGACTCGAGTCAGCCCTGGAATCGCCGGGAACTGTCACCCACGAATTGATGCCGACCCATGGCCATCCAAAATGATCTGCCCTTGATTTGAACTCATAGAACCAAGCACAAGGTGGAGCAAGCAATTGGCTTCAAACAATGCTCCTCTTCAATCAAACATGAACACAACACCACCCTACAAAAAACATGAGGGGGAGTTTGAGTCTGCGTGTTGAACAGCACTCGGGGTTTGCATCCTGCGGAAAGCGCAAAGCCCCAAAATCTGAGGCCGCGGCACAAGTCCATGCCACGGTAGATCGACACATGCTTTCCTGAGCTCACCACGGCGCCCTCAGCTGCACTGTAACTCGATTGCTTTCTGCTCTCCTGCTAAAAGTTTAACTTTTCGTGGTTTAATAGAAAACCCATTAGTTGGCAAAATGTGAAAGTCCTAACATCCCTTGGCAAAATGCAACAAAGGTAATTCACCGACCGAATGACGGAATCCCATAAACTCGAAGCCTCAGTGCATCAGCAGTCCGGCCATGAAGTTTAAGATTCATGCCGTGGGCTCAGAATCTGTAGGTACTTTTGCGCAGCATTGCGCCCTGCCCACAGTTCCTGCCACCTGGATGTGTGCGGATTTGGGATTTCACAAAGGCTTCAAGCCGTGGTTCCTGCCTTGAACAGCCTTGGAGGCAGACCCAATTTCCGGTAGGTTGTTGGGTCCGTGACATCCTCCAAATTACCCCTCTAAATGGTCAAGGGCAACTGTATCATCAGTTCATGACCATTCATACCGAATGGAAGTTTGAACAGGGTTGTGGAGTGGGTGAACCAACTGGTGTTGCTGGTAATCCTGCAGGAGTTGATCAAGTTGAATAATACAGACTTTTAAAAAAGAAGTACCGGGTGTGTTTGCTTGATTGAATATCATGCTAATGGATTAAGCAATTCATTCGTAATAGGTAATACATGAACTGTTGATTGTACCACAGATGATGATACGGACAATGATATTGATGGTTTTGATAAGCTTAGGTACAATGTCAGTCAGTACATAAACGATCTATGGTTGCATTATATGTATTAAACATTCGTCAATCATAAATAACTTTGTATGACTTTAACTCATTTTTGTTTATTTGCTCTTTCTCTCTCTCTCTCTACAATCATGTCTTTGCCTTGACTATAAATCAGTCGCAAATTGATGAACACCAGAGACAACACAAAAGTATGCATCGCAAAAGCAGACACGTGCAATTAAATCCGTTTACAGCATTCCTCATTGTGCTTGTACATGGGAGATGGATGTTGTAGCTATTGTATTTGGATTAGCAACAAACCCCCGAAACAGCTTCAGCTTGAAGGGACACAGAGTAGGACCAAAGGAGAGCAGCTGAGCTGAAGCCAACGCTGGGTTTTCGGGCACAGGCGCTCTTGGCGCGCTTCAACTCCCAGGCCCAGCCTTGACTCCTCACGGGTGAAAACGTTTCACGGGTCGATTAATAGGTTGAACCAGAGCTCTGGGTTGATTGGGCCAAAGGATTCACTCCGTTGAACATGAGCTTATCTCAAAATCGGGGAACCCTCCAAATTGTGGCCATTGGCTTCCCTTTACTTGCGATCGGTGCGAGAGATACAGGGAATGAGAAATGGAATGACCCCGAAATAAGCTATCCAACTGTTGGTTTCCAGCAGTGGATTTAGGGTGGGGTTTACGGTTTGATTATGGCGAAATTAAGGTTGGTCTAGGCTGGGTTGAGTGAGCTTGGGGTTGGTTCAAAAGCCACCGACACCTGCGAGAAGCCCAAAAGCTGACACAAGCCACAAGGGCTCCCTCAATTCCATTAAGAGGGTTGGTGGGGGTGCCATCAAAGCAATTCCAACTTGGTAAGTCGGTTTAACCTCACCACGGTTGCAAGTGGGGCAAGTGGTGCCCAGTTGCCCAGTGATCCCGGTAGAAAAAGGGAGCCTTTCTGGCTTGACCATGTTTAATGCGAGGCCCACCAAACAAAACAGGGACTTAGAGGAGTGCCACTGAACACTGGGTGCTATTTTTTGAGGTCTGCAAAAGTTTCGTCATTGCACATGGGTACATGAACAACGTATTTCCTCTTTGGCTGTGGGTCAAAAATATGTACCCCAAGTGGAACCCTTGTAATGTTGACCCAGGATTAATAAACCCGTTCCATTATTGGGAGAATGTTCCCTCCAACAGTATTGAATCCCCACTAAAAGGGGACACCCCCCAATCAAAATCAACGAGGGGTTCTGCTTAATCCGGGGATAACATTCAGTGGAAACATGGACTAAAACCTGCGGTCCGATTCCTGGCTTAATTTTGACCCATACCCATTTAGGCCCCAGAACATCTGCCGGGTTCGCGCCTGTCACGCAGCGCCTGCGAGATCTTGCTGATCTCTGGCTGGACTCGCTGGAGCGCTTCTCTCGCCTGGAAAAACGCGGGGTTGGGCTGCAGGACATATTCATAAGAACACGTCGCCGCTTCCACTTTCTTTCCCCGAACATCCGCCCCAAGGAAACTCAAGCAATCAAAAGGTGTTGAGGAACCACCAACATTGTGGGGAACCTAGTCCTCCAGGGGGCCTGAAGACTGCCTGGGCCGCACAGACTCAGGCATCGGCATCTGGGCTCCAAAAAAAAACAGAAGGCCCCAAGACAACTCTTGCCATAGCCTTGCGGTTTGTTTTCCTGGCGCGAAACATCTCATCTCGATCCGCCTCCGCGGCCTCGCGTTCAGCCAGGCGCTCGGCGCGCATGAGCAGCTCCGCGAGCCTGGCGCTTGGAAGCGGAGTGGGGGGTGGGGGGGGGCGGGATGCGCTGTTGGGGGGGTGGGGGGGGAGGGAGAAATGACCTTTCCTTCTGGGTTGGGGTGAGCTTTCCTGCCAACCTGAAAACAGAGATCAATCGAGCAGGCTGGGTTTTTCTCTCACGAAAGGGCAGCCCAACTAACTACAAGAGCACCAACCCCCCCCCTTCCAGGTGCCTTGGATACCAATGGCATATGTTTTCTTCTACCAAAATGGTGATAAATTACTTACATAGGCCCCACCAACCAACGACAACATCCAAACAGGTTTAGAGGAAACATGGCCAAACCAATCCAGGACAGGAAGGTCACGGATGCCTGTAAGTTTCTCTGTCGTCTCAAAGATCACATTCCAGGAGCCATGTTATATGGGTGTATCTTGTTCCTTTCTTCCTTTCGTGAGCCCCCCCAAAACCCCCCAAAAAAAAACATGAAACATGATGTTCCTGTTGCTTCCCTTTAAAACCACAAAACACGGGGTACCCCATTTGGAGTTGCCTTTCCCGGCGAATCAATTCAATCGACGCGATCGTTCCCGACATGGAGCCTTCCAGAGGTTAGACCTATGTTTCTAGGGCTTAATTTCAACCATGCTCAACCCTTGCTATCAAAGACCGGATCCGTTTTCAAGCCGGGTTTTGCGAGGTTATCTATAGAAAGGCAGAAGGAGTCTTGGAAAGAACGGGGAAGGTACCCCTACGTAGAATGTTGAGTTGCTTTCGAACTCTCCTTTGTTTCCCGCGCAATGTGTTGGCTATGGCACATCAGGAAATCCAAGCCCCTATTGAAGATACAAGAAGCCACTATTGGCTTGGGAGGCTCAAAGTATCAAAAAGCCATCAGCACCAACTGTCATCTCTAAGAACATCTGGAGACATTGGACACTGATACATGACCTATAAATTGAACTATAATTCACATTCACACACAGCAAACATCAGAAACCCCAAACAATTAGTAAGGACGGCGCGTTGCACCCCCGCTTCGCGATTCTGCTCTTCCCGACTTCTCCAAACGCCTGGCAGCCGCCTCCATTTTCACCAGCTCGGCCTGGGAAAGGGAACCATCCGAGACCCTGAAAGTGGCAATTCGGTTCTTTGTTGGGTTTCCGTGAAAAAAACACACACCAAAAAGAGAGGCACCCCCAAAGAGAGAAGAACCCCGGAAGACCTCCAAATGGCCAAACCGCAAGGTGCTGATCCTGACGAGGAAAACATAGAAAAACCCGACGTTAACATTGGATTCATCAACACCACCGATTCCGAAACACGCTCTCGGGATCCGATAAACACAATCTGCTCTGTGACGCCGGCCTCCGGGGCCACCCTGATTAGTACGATTCAGCGAAACAATTCCCCAAACAAACAACTAATTGATCTCAACTCCAACCAATTGAAACGTTGTCTATTTTCTGGCAGTTTCATGCGAGGTCTGACCTTCCGGGTTTGTCAACTAGTAAGCCGACGTTCACATGTCCGATCCAAACAAATGCGGTGTTTGTTCAGTGTTTGGGAGCTGACGATATCCCCAAATTGAAGCACATGTGATTCTCCGGACTTTGACGTGGTCAAACTCAATGTGCGATGGTTGACCAGGCTTCAGAAGCAAAAAAAAGAGAGCTGCATGATTATTGATGACCGCTCCTCACCAAAGAGACTCTCCTTGAACGAATCCCTCGCCAAAAGCAGAGTCACCTCTGTTGATTGCATCTGAAGCGGACATGTGTCGGATCAAAGCTCGCTCTGGGGGTCACGGTCCCGAAGGTCAATCTGTTCAAGTAATGATACTTGACAACTGCCTGTACACCCCCCAGCAATGAGCACTTTACAGTATTGCTTACTAGTGGTTGTCATGAGACATGTGAGTCATAATCACAACCTGGTATGAAAATGGGCGACCCACAGCCATATAAGGAATTAAAAAGGCAGCTGCACCCATCTATGGCTGGGACTATCCCTTACTAACCTTCATCTACCCGGGTGTTTGATTGTGGCTCATGTGAATATTGAGTGGCGCTTTTCCCAAATCCAAAGTAGAAACTTCTTGTTGCCCCTTGCCTAATTCGCTGACAAAGGCGTTCAACTTGCAAGCGTGGCCATGGGAAAAGTGACACCCTTTCTTGTGGGACTTCTTTTGGTGGAACACGTGGCAACGGGAAAAGGGAGTTCGAAGGGACACCCATCGTGATTCGTACCTGGCGGCTATGAGTTTCTCCCAAAGCGAAAGCCGCTCAACGGCAAAGAATCAGCCAGTTCATTGATACGCTGGGTTTCCATCAAACAGAAGGCACAACAACCATTTTTGTTAAAGAAAATGGAAAGAAACGGGGTCCACTAGGAACCAGGATGCTTCCTCCCGGCTCTCTTGGCACTGCCTTGCCACTCAGCTCTGCTAGCTCCGTACCACCTGGCAGGCCCCAGTGAGTCATTGCCAATGAAAAGAAAGTAGGCGGCCTAGGAACAACCCCTGGCATCCGTTTAAAGTTTAAATGGCGCGGCGCTATGTTTCCCTGTGAACTGCTTTGGGATCCAACAACTGCTCGGTATTTGGTCTCGGAAGCTCCCTGACTTAAAGGAACGAGGGAACGGTCCAAAGCAACATGGCACTGTCCTTGACTAGTAGTTAGGGTCTTCCATCTGAGTCCCAACTTTGCATTATTTTGCAACAGGAAGAACCACCTGCCCATTTGTGAAAAAGGGGCACCTCCGCGTGGTGAACTTGAATGCTTGCTGCGTGCCCCTCGGAGCATCCGAGAGGGCCCGAAGCGCCAAGATCATGTTGCCCCGTGGCTAATTACGTGAGATACGACCGATGTGTTCACATGCTTCTTGAGATGAAGACACGTGATGACACCGTGCAACTCGTTTGCAGCTTAGAGTTTAGTATCCGTCCAGAGACCCAGAAATGCTTTGTTTATCAGCGTTTCTGACAGCCCAACACATTCTTCATTATAACCCGACTGACATACTTGACCTCGGAATTCGTTGTTCGCGTTTCTGGTAGTAGACGATACTGCATGTTGCCCAATTCTCAGATGGGTGCTTCCCAAAATGGAGGACCACACGTGCGTGGTTTACCTTTGCTTGCTTCTGGACAACCATCAAAAGCGCGCCTTACGCTCGAGAGGAATAGTCCAACAGAGTCTGAACCACTGCACTATGCTTTCCCCCCCCCCCCCCACAAAGTAGAACATCTAATTCGAGACTTGAGAAGTGATCCTCCTTCCCGTGACGAGGATCGCTCCCACCTGCAGCCTGCAGTAGCTCCATCCTTGGCACCATGGCGTTCGCGGCAGTTCCGGGCTCTTAGTGCCAATGCAAAGAAGCCACTGGGATGGCAACCCAAATGGAGGGATTGCTTTTGAACCAAAGAAGGGCTGTGCTCAGCAATTTCTCAGCTGTGGTAGACAATGGTGCCCAGGGCACCTCGCTGCACAGGCACGGTGGAGTTTCTGCTTCAGTTGCAATGTTTGTTTTTCAATTTTCTCTGGGACGGAGAAGGACTCCTTACGTCAACTGACAAAAGAGAAGTCCAAAGTGGGCCCTGTCATTTGTTTGGGGGGGTAGTTGGCTAACTGCTCTTCGCCGTTCAAGCCGTTTGGTCTCCCCAATGCATAGGTTCCTCGATGTCATTTCGCAATGTTGCCTGTTGTTTTGATATGTGAAAGATTCTTGATCAACAACTCGAGAGGTTTTTGAGGGGCCCATGTAGGCGGGGTATCTTTCTTAGTGGACCCCCCCCCCAAAAAAAACAACGAAGAAAAACGAAACGGTTGGTGGTTTGCCCTGCAAAACCACCAAAAAGAGGCACACTCCAAGAAAGACACCCCCAGTTGATTCTTGCTTCCGATGTTGCAAGGCTCGAGTGTGGGAGGAATCACTTTCCACACTAGACTTGTCGCTCGAATCCAGGGATCCCAACCGGCCCCTGGGCCTTATGTTCGAAGATCGGCTAAGTGGGAAATATGAGTCATCCTGGAGCCACCATCACCTGTACAAAATGATCTACCCAAAATACGGGGTCATGACGAGTCATAACATATCATTTTTGTAAAGGATCATTGAGACTGCAGGATGACCATTCAAGTGTCTAAAAAGAAAAAAAACATCGATCACCTTGAGCAAATTGAAGAGTTTGAGGTTCCTGTTCACCAGAGTTCCTTATTCCAAAACCTGATCCACCCAACCCGAACATGGCCATACTGAGGCTGTAGAAGGACAGTCAGACCCTTTCTTGGCCTCGTCCCGGAAAATCGGGGGAAAAATAACCTGAGGAGTCGAGCGTAGGCAGGCTGGCCTCGGACAGACACAGGAAAGTTGAAAGGCGGGATTTTCCCCGTTCCGTACGCAAGCTTTCGGGGATCTGCTTGAAGTATGGTTGATTTCTTAATTATCTTGCAGGGAGGGAGCATGGCAACCCTGTAATTTACATAGGCCTGTGGTTCCAGGTGGTGGCAGTCCGGATTTCCTTCAATCATCCAAAAAGGGCTCACAATCCAAGGAAATCCAAAGTCTGTTCCAAACGCCAAAAAATAGAACAAAAACATTGGCATCGCTTTTAGAGGACCCCCAAAATGGCTGGTCTCTTTTTGGTTTCCTAAAAAACCCTGCAAAAAGGATACCCTCAAAAAACGCACACACCCAATTACTCGTTCCAAAGTCCCAATCTAACTCGGCGAAGCTCCTCGCGGACCCCTGCCCTCATGAGCCAAACTCAGTGTACATGCTTGAGTGGAAGGGTGTGATGGAAATTGGACGCGTGACCCTTCAAACGGGCGGGACATGAGGGAAAAACAAGGGCAGCCACCTCATACTAAGACTGGACACCCACGGTACACATGCCGAAATATGAACTGGTAATGAGCTGAGATTGTTAAGCCCTTACAATTCCTCCTTCCGGCTTCACCCGAAAACGGGATTGAATTCGGCGACCAAATGATCCTTAGAACCGCCTTTTTGGATGGAGAAAAAAAACAATAGTGGCCCGAGCTCTAGCGTTGTGGAGGTGCACCATGACTCGCGACCCATGTTTTGGCCAGAAACATCTCCACATTCCTAGGGCCAAGCACCTCAACATATGAGAGAGCGGACAAGATCCCCTGTTCCCCCCCCCCCCCCCCCCAAACAAAACATGGGGAACATTGCCTGGCCCCGCTGGTTTTGGGGTGGAGAATTCGGGCCTAGAAAAAGGGGGTGCAAAGTGATGCCAGCACGGATCCTCGGTCGGAGCCCCTCTTTGGGCCTTCCATGTTTAGGTTTCCCTTGCCTGCCATTGCAGAGTTGGCTCGTTTTGCGATTCCAAACGAGTGCCGGCGAGTGCTTTCCGAATATGCGCCATGTCCTGCCCAAGAACTGCTTGGCCCACAGCAAAACCATCCATTTAGCCCAAAAGAAAAGGTACGGTCAAACGGCAAACACGAAATCTAGAATCTAGCAGGCATTGCCGCGAAGCAAGGCAGGTGGTCGTTGGAGAGCTGTTTGAAACTGAGAAAGAGGATTCGGTTTTTGGTTTTTCTCCGCGAAGTCCTTCCAATGAACACCTCCGGAACAACATTGCTGGCAACTTTACACCCCTGTAAAGTTGCCACAAGTTGAACACCTTGTAAGGTTTGGTGTTTCTTGGATTGTGGCAACTTTTACACGCATTGCTGGTAATGAACATCCCCCTCAATGATTTCTCCAAAAGAAGCAACTTTCATGGACCCCCAAGGGGGGCTATGGGGAGGGGGGGCTATCCCTTATTAAGCCCTTAATAAGGCCTTATTAAGGGCTTCTCCTTGGGTTCTCCTGGGCTTATCCCCCCTGAAGATTCCACGAAACTTGGACTTCGCCCCGCTCTTAACCAGTGCCCAGGCCTGCCCCAGCGGAGTCCCAGCGCCTCGGAAGGATTGGGTGAAGAAACGGGTCAACACATGAAACGGAAACCAAACGAATGCTGCTTGAAGCAAATTAGGCCAAAGTTAAGACGGTGGGACTCCATGGACTGTGTGAAAACTGCTTTTGAAAACCCAAGCTCCCAGTGGGTCCCACGAAAGGGCCTCGGAGGCTTGGAGTAAGTCCGATGGAATGAGTGCTGGCTCTTTGGCAACGGGCTGGCATCGCCCAATGGTTGAGTTGTTCCCTGCCACGGACATATTTGAAGGTTGCCCGGTCTGTGCATCACGGGCCCGGTCTGTGCAGAAACAACATGAACAATTGAGGAATTTGAATTTGTGTCTGACTGTGAGCGCAAGGGACAAGCAAGGCCTGCCTCAAAATAGGAAAGGGCAGGAATGGAGAAAAACAAGAAAAGGGCGCGAAAGGACTGGAAAGGAAAGACTGGACATGGAAAGCAAGGGAAGGAAAGGAGCGGCAAATGTTCAAGCACATGGGGCTTGGGGCTGGAATAGGAAATAAATGATAAAGTCCTGTCTGACACCTGAGATAGCAACACTCTGGCATGCGATTCATCCTTTGCCATGGCCCCAACAAAACCACAACAGCGCGGCTTTCACAACTTGCACCCATCACACATGTGAGAAGGCAACAGCCCTGTCTCAATCCAAGCAGTTTCAGGCCGTCAACCACGCCGCCTGGCCACGAGGCCAAACTCGCGAGCCCTCGTTTTTGCTTGGCCTCCATCTTGTCTTCCTAGAGGAACTGTTGAACACATAACTTTATATACAATACTCTTCTTGAAGACCTTTTGTTTGGCTCAATGCTATTTTCAAGACTCTGAATTGCAGCTTCGAGGCCGGAGGTCTCCGAGCCAACCTGACGGATTCCGAGCAAGTGAAATAGATCACCCCTTTTTGGAGTTTGAAGGGAAACCCAAAGCAAACCAACCAGGTCCTCCAGTAGAGAGGTTAGAATCAGGGTACCCTTTCTTCTTTCTTCTGTAGTCTATTTTAGCAGGGGAACCATGGGGAACCCTCCCCCAAAAAAGGGTAAAAGGGCACTACAGCGGGACCTAGCCAATCATTTGCAGGGTCATTTGGAGAAAAAAAAAGAGTATCTGCCAACCCCAAGTGGAGTGACCCATATCTCGTAGCAGTTTCTCCCCATGGCCGTAGCATCGGTGACTTTGGACTCCGGACTGACTGACCGACCGAGCTGTCTGACTGGCTGACTGACCGACCGACCAAGCGACCGCCAGACCCGGGTTCATTTGTTCCATCCTCTCCTAAAGCAAAAGGGAGTCCATCTGTAGAAACTTCCCTGGAAGTTCCAACAAGCAGAAACGGGCGGAACACAGTCCTGCGAACTGCGGAAGAGACTGTTCCCAGTAACGACCGGCAGAATCGGACAGGTAAGAAGGACACCACATAGAGGGAACTGGCAAAGTTGCGCTGTCGTTTAAAGACTTCCCCTAACCACCAGATTCTTCCCCCGCACAGATAACCTTTTGACTCCTGTAGGAGTTGAAAATAGAGGGACAGATGGTTTAAGTAATTACGAATAGTCACGATTCAATATCATTTTTTGGCCAAACGGGTGTGCAAAAGACAAAGCACGAGACCGCCCCCATGCACAAATAGCAAATGGATGGTCCTAGCCCCAAACAACTTGCTGTTCTCAATGAAATTCAAAGGATACAGGTGTAAAGCCCCAAACCCCCTGAGCAAATTTGCTGCTTGACTACTGCCAGAAAAGGGCGAATCCCTGGATTTTTTTCCTGCGCTCAATAAAGTTGTCCAAGGCAAGCTGCTTGTGAGGGGGTCATCCATTCCAGGGGCGGCCTGCTGATCCGGACGGTCATTAAAAAAGTGGTCGTCCCTCAACAAATGTTAATTACTTTGACCTGGTGCGAGGATTTGCGCGTGTCCTTTTGTGAGTGACCCGGTTTCAGCCTGGTTTCTTCCATTCCCTGAAAAAGACAAAAAGAATCCCGTGATGGATTCCCGTGAAAAACAACAGGGGACAAAATCTCAAATATATTGCCAAGTGATTGTTTGTTTTAATAGGAACTCCCACAGGGAACAAAATCTCAAATATTGCCAAGCAAACTGTTCTTCTTTTTTTCTGGAACTCTTACAGGGAAACCAAATCTCAAATCTGGCTAAGCAAGTTGATTCTTTTTTTGGGGGGGGGATGGAACTCCCGGGGCCCATTTTGGAGGCTTTCCCCCCCCAATTTCAGCCCGACCCAAGTTGCCTCGGGGGATTCCACCGCCGCGGCCATGCGGAAGCAGGTGCGCATCAGGCCCAGAGAGAGGTGGCTCAAGGTGCCTAGGAGAGGGGAACCCTTGAACCAGGGGTTTGACCCAAAAAACGGGGACCAAAAATGGGGTTGCGAAAAGCCAAAAGCCGAAAAGACCAGAAGCCGAGAAGCCAAGAAGCCGAAAAGCCGGGAAGCCAAGAAGCCAAGAAGCCAAGAAGCCAAAAAGCCAAGAAGCCAAGAAGCCAAGAAGCCAAAAGCGAAACAATTCCCCCCCCAAAACAAAAAAAAAAAAAACAAATATTTCACCAACCTGAAATAAGGTGGTTGGGGGGCTATTCCCCACATAAACCGCCATTTGGGGTCAGGTCGTGTGAGGTCGTTGTAATTCGCCCAGTATGATACGTATTCTTCATACCACCTGAGTCACAATCAAAACCCGGTATTAAAATGGTCTACCCAGAACCATGTAAAGAATTAAGAAGGCGGCCGCAACGATTTCTGGCTGGGACTGCCCGTTACTAACCTTAATCTAGCCGGGTTTTGGCTGTGGCTCACTCATACACTGGATGGACGAAAATGCTGCACCACCTAAGAAACCCTGGAATGATGATTCCCCTGCAAGTACCACCAAACAGTAGCTTCCCATGGTTTCCAAGTGGTGCGAAATGGATTTCGCAACCATCCACAGTACCACTTGGAGATCGGCCTCAGCCGAGCTGCCCATCACGGAGATGGTGGTGGGACCCCCGGGCACGCGGCGCGCCACGCGGGTGGCCAGGGATACCTCGGAAGGTTTGGCACCGTGAGGCTTTTGTTGCTGAGATAGGTGCCTTCTACGTAGAAACTAGGTCCAATAGAAAACAAAACACATACATGCATGTAATATATATATACACGATTACATACATACTTGTATATATGAGTACACATGTAGATAAATATATATATATATATAGACATATACCTCCCCAGATTGCTCCCGCTCAAAGCCAAAAATGAAAAAGATAATACCCTGCACTCCAAACACATTGCAAATGCAGCTTTAGCCCTCACAAAACTGACACTTGTATGTAATGTGCCGTTTTGGCTAATTGCTCGACAGTCCCAATACGTGTTTTGTTGTAAGCAGTTTGATACTTTCCTTATGGCTTCTCAAGCCATGCCAAGGCCCCTATTTTGTACCCCAGAACAATGAAATCCTTTTCGAGCCTCCAAGCTTGGCCCCAGAAGTTGTGAGGTTGCCCAGGAAGTGCTCCATCAAGATGCGGAACAGACAGAGTCAATCATCGGCTAACCAGGCCCCGGCATTCGTATGGCGAATGGCCCAATCAAAGATCGGGGACCTCAGGCTTCGCCTCGCGTTCAAATAAGCCGTTTTACAAGGGGCTCTGTCTTCCGTTCAGTGCCAGCACAGCATCTATTTGCTAGTAAACTGAGCATTCATCTGGCCGAGCAACTTATTGTACACAGATGGGCGAACTGCTTTTAGATCCATGGACCGGTGATACTCTCAATCGCACCGCTTGTAAATAAAGGCACGTCCCCGATGAGTGCAGAACAACTCTGAGTGAGGTGGTCATGTGCCATTCGAACGGATTTTTATCATCACCGTGTGCAAACATGGGTAACTTTCCCAATCAGGCTTCCTAAACCGAAACAGTGTGGGCCATAGCCGGATGTCCGTTACGCTACTTAAAGGGTCCTTTTGCGAGCGTCACTTTGGTGGACCCCACAGCGAATACGCGACAACTGGTTCCCTCCACGACATGAGCCCTGAGCGGTCTCCATTCCAAAGGCGATTCCTTGGCTTTGACAAGCTAGGCTCCCTCTGCGAACTGTCCGAACTCAAATGAGTGGCCTGGAAATGGACGATCCCATCTTCCCAATTCAGCTATCCTGGAAATGGAAATAAGCCTGAGCACCAGGGCCTACCCCAACCGAGGACAACTGGACAGGTTGTACAAGGGTTGCTCCACAATCCTTCCTGAACTTTCGTCCCGGACATCGACACAGGAAACCGTCACCAGCTTCCTGACCCAAGCCTTAGTGACTTGCATGCAGCCGGCCACTTTAAGGCGACCTGCGGAGCCCCGGGGATAGCTTCCAAGGCACAGGGCCCTGCAGCAAGCGATCGCAGTGACCCACCAGGATCACCTCAGGTGGAATCGCTTTCTGTTGTGTTGGAATTGGATCTTCATTACACTAATGGACCCGTTTCAAATGGCTTGTTTCGTTTTAGACTCCATTTAAATATCAACCAAGAGGGCCTAAAGGGCCCCGTCCCCCCCAAATTTAAACAGCATACTCTTAGGCTGTCTCCAAATAGGATGGAATCTCCGAAAAAGTGGCTTGCTTGCGGTTTCCCTTTTAATCTCAAAACAGGTACCCCCAAACAACACGCACCCACGAAACCGATTTTGCGCCACCAACCCTGGCTAGTAAGACGCATAGTGTTCCAAAATGAAAATGCGCCCCATGGAAAGCAATCTGGCCCAGACTCTTGCAAGGCTTCGGTCTGTTGGTCAACAAGCCGAGCTGAAAATGAAGCCTATATGGCTACTGGTCAAAACCCCGTACAACCAGTGAACATCCCAATCCCCACAAAAATCCCGACTAAAATTGGGTACAAGGATTGTCCAACCCCTTATCCTGAACAGTGACCCCTTGTACCCTCCAAGGGCCATTGCGAAAGAATATCCATGCCCCAACCCTATCAGAACATCGAGCACTAGATCTTGAGGCTTGTGTCCCCACTCTCTTTAAGGGGCACAGAGTCACATTGAAGTCTTTATCGCTAACCATGCCTACATCAAGTCAGCGCTGAAAGGTCAAGGCCTTTCGAAGTCCGGCAACGCACCATGAGTTCTTGTCTCGGTGGCAAAGCCTTGTCAGGAAACTCTTTGTCCATCCCTTCCCAGCTTCCTTCAACAAATTAAACACATTGCGTTCAGGGTTCCTCACTGACAGGAGCACCTAAAGACGCAACTCATGAACACAGAATTTACCAACTTCTCCTTTAGGGTCCTGACCTTTATAAAGATTGCAACAAACATCCCGGCAAAAACAGGAAAGCGCCAGAAGGCATCCAGTCTCAATGAAACCTTGTGCGGGTTCTATGGTACAATGCAGGGTGATGTAGTGCCCAGTCCGAAATCGGCAATGGTTGATTCTTCCAAGGGCCCTCAAAATGGCTGCCCTCTTTCTAAAATCTCAATGAGCCATCCAATAAGTGGTATCTCACACGGAGCAAGCCGCTGGTTGCTTCCCTCGGGCAGCCTTCGATGGCACAATCGAGGCCACCAAAAACCGAGGTGCGCGATCGTTTGTTGGCGTGGCAAGCGGCTGAGGACAGTGGGGAAAGCAAAAGGAGCTGGCGCCAAGAGCAGATACAACATGAGCGTGTCTCAAGGGGAACCTCCCCAAAGGGGCTCTAGTTTTCCCTTGGCTTTTGCTCCAAACAACACCACAAATTGTACAATCAAGACAAAACACACATCGTATCACACCATTCAATCCAACCCCAAAATGGGATCCCATTGGCTTTGATCCACAGCCATATGTTATCAGCTGCCCTACTATTTCGCTCACGGAAATTGCACTGGAGTTAGCCACCATCTCGATCCTGCCAAAACGCTCCCTGAATCAAACCAGGTCAAATGGGTATGGGTCAAAATTAAGCCACCAGGGGACCGCAGGTTTTAGTCGTTGGTTCCATTTATCGGGGTTCATTTTGGGTACGCATTTTTGACCCACTGCCAAATCCTAACCAGCATGAAACCAATCTTGCAGCAACCCTGCCTGGACCTGCCCGACACCAACTCTGCCCTAGATGACCAAAAGGATCAAGAATGGCTCAAACTGAACAACCGGCATTCCCCTTGCTTCCTTCTATTCATTGGCTGTCAATGGTTACAGGAGCAACTCCTATCACTCACCGTCTCTAAGAGTCGCACGCCAGAAAAAACAGCCGCCCCAAACCATCCATTGGTCTGCAAAGTTTACAATAACTTCACAACTTGAAATAAGGGATCCCAAGTAAAGGATCTTTACCGTGGCTTTCGCTCGTTCTACCCCCGAATCGGTGAGCTCGCCTTAAAACAAATGCAGGAATCCCATCCCCAGCATAGGTGTCCTTTTAGGAGAAATAGATGGCCCTGGTAGATGATGAAACCACCAGGTGAACCAGGAATCGCCATCTATTTCTCTACCAAAAACCAACCAAAAAAGGACACCTCATGATTAGAGTCAGGTCCAGTTGTAGAATGTATTGCTTCACTTTGAGTCACTGGTAAAATGCAAAATGTATCCTGTCTACAGACCTATGATCCCCAGCCTTCCGCAGAATCCATCCGCCGGATTTTGTTCATCGCCCGAGGCGCGGTGGCGCTCTGCGCCTGCTCCGCCCGGGCGCGCATGAAGCGCACCGCCGCGGTGTCGCTGCCGGGCACCACCCGCCGGGCCACGCCCAGCGCAAAGGCGCGGCCTCGAGTGGGCGCCAGACTCTGGGGGCATGAGACCAACTTGGGATTATCGAGGTTGCTACCCCAAGCTGACCTTTGGCTTCCCTTCAGCTTGGTGGCTTGGATTGGTGGTTTGGTTTGAGGAGGGGTTGCGCCATTTACCCTCAAGAACCAAGGGTTCAAATCTCTTTCAAATCCCTTCAAACCACACCCACAAAACGAACGGATTACCCTCAAACAAACACAAACCCCTAAAGAATCCGAAAGAACTATGAGAGTTACCACACAACTGCTTGTTCACCCCTTTGCCTTTCATGTGCCCCTGTGTGAAGTTTACCCAGCATTACTGTTTGTGAGCAGGTACAGTACTGCAAAGGCACATTGGAACTTGGCAGAGTTTAGAAGTTCCAAGGTGATTGGCGTGGTCGATCCACATTTGTCGGTCTGGACCGGGGACTCCCCTGCGGACAAAAACAAACACAAATTTTAGTAGTCTCTCTTGCAGAAAGGATGGTGACTCGGAGAGCCTTACGCTCTGCTAGACTAAGGCTAAATAAGAAAGCACCTCTAAATTAGGGTTATGGGGGCATTGCTGGATATCGGTTACATGTGCGTAGTGACCGGGTCAAACTAGCGCGGTGTACGGAGCAAACAAGACGACAGAAAATGGCCATGAACTTGAAGAAGAAACCTGCAAAAGTGGCTGGTGGACATGAACCACCATGCCCGCCGACACGTCAAGAGGCGCCGAAGCCGGACAGGTCTGGACCGCAGAAAGGCAGGGTCAGCAAAACAAAGCTTGCGCTTTTCCCACAATCTAAGGGTTTTTGGTATTATGCCCTGGGGTTACGCCCACTGAGAAATGACCGTTATTTTGGACTATTTTGGACTATTTTGCCAAGGGTGTAATCCCAGGGTGTAATACAACAACCCTTACCCACAAGGGCTTCCAATCCCCAAAATCCGAACCACCAACTAAGGCTTACTAAGGGGAACTTGAGCATTGGTCATTTCCACAAGCCAAAAACCAAGGAACCACGCGGTTCGACTCATTTCATGCGCGCAAGCAAACCTCGGCTATTGCGGAAGCTGGTCAACAACAAACAACGCATCTGGATCATCAGGTCACAAGATCGATTCCCTTTGGGATCATCGATACCTCCTTGAAGTGAAGTTCCAACGAATGCGACGCCCCTGTCATCAAGGGGGTTATCTCCACCAATCAACACCTTTGTGCGCCCAAAACCAATGGCAAAGAATCAAAAGAGCGGAGATGGGTTCGCAGGGTTCAAAACAGGGGGCCTTGTGTCATGGCCGTTATCCCGTTCGCATCCCAGCGAACCCCAACCAAACAAGGGTCCTTTTGGAGCTCCTTCTTGCCAGTCACTTATCTGACTGGGTCTTCCATTGTCAAGCCGGTAACCAAAGCAGCTCACTTCCAGCAGCTCAGGGAGAGCCAAAGGGTTCGCCCCATTGAACACGGGTGTCTCAAACTAGAAAGACTCTCCAACATTTGTGGCTTGCTCTTGGCTTCCCTTTCAAAATCTTTCAAGCCAGCCAAGAACAAGCTTCCCTTAAACACACAAAACAACGCATGGAGTTCGTCCAAAACAAAAGGGCTCCCTAAAAAACAAGACAAACCCACGTGGAGGTCCTTGCCTGCGTCGGCGGCGCGCAGGCCCAAAGACACTCCAGCGCTGGCCACGCGGATCTCAAGAGACACCACGGTGACAGCTGCGTTCACCTCGAGCGCTCCCCGCGGCAGTGGGCGGTCCGTGTTCGGATCTGCTCAAAATGACGAACTTTTACCCTCCCACCAACTAGCATGGAAGTGCAAAAATGCCCTTTCCAAGCGGAAAGTAGTCTTTCTACAAGGTTCTGTGCACTTCAATGTTAGTTGCTGGGAGGGTAGCGGGATGAAGAAGGAAATCCAACCACTAAACACTGAACAGCTAAAAAAACTAATGAAACGATGGCTGGGAACCAAGTACAACTAGGGGGAACTCAAAGAATGGCCCCGGTTTCCATGTGGTTTCCCTTTCAAACCACCCTAACAAGGGTTCCTACAAAACGCAAAGCCATTTGAGGGGGTTCCTTTTGCGAGGGTGGTGTCTTTGGGTAGCTTTCAGAGAAACCAAACCCCAGTTACAAACAACGATGAATGGTGAGTATGGGGTTGGGCTTTTGGGGGCGGGTTGTTTTGAAGGGAACCCAAAAGAAAACCATCCATTCTGGGGATACGCTTGTTGCAAAGCCTGTATGATATCACAAATCAAAACTGCTCGGGGTACATGACGATGCTCCTGGATGAAGCAACCACAAGACCCCTCATGGTTTTGCTATCCGCACGCGGCAACACGATCCCCTGCAGTCTACCAACGTCTTTGCTCTCCAAATTAGGGAGCCCTCCAAATGGGCTCCTAACTTCCCAAGTTACACTGAACATGTGAATTAAAAACGTCCCGTCGTCTCCCTGGTTTCCGCAAGCCTCAAAACAACCACATGCCCGGGTTCCATCAGCCTCGAAACAAGAGGACTCGGTTGCTTTCTGCTCCCCTGCTAAAGTTGAACTTTTAGTGGTTTAATGGCAAACCCATTAGTTGGCAAAAAGTTGAAGTCCTAACATCTGAGCAACATGCACCAAAGAGGAACCTTGACCGTTTTGAGTTGCTGCCCTCAGATCCCCCGCTCAAAGTTTAATTTTTATTGCTTTAAATGGAAACTACCGCTAAACACTAAAAGGATGTAAAAAGCTAAGGAACCGGATGGCTGGGAGCCAAGAGCTGCATAGCCTCTGAGCTTCCCGCAGCCTTCCCTGTCGCCCGCAGCCACAGGCCTGGCTGAAGGCTCGATGGGGGCCCTCTTGTCTAGCTGGTGAGAAAAACTCAAGGAGCCCAGGAAAAAGCATGAAGCACTAACATGCCCAAGAAAACATCAAACAACACCCACTGACATGCCCAAGACAACATTAAAACAACCACTAACATGCCCCAAAAAACATGTACATGCCCAAGAAAGACATAGAAACACCCTAAACGTGGCTGGTGTCCATGGGGATCCCTCAAGCTCGCTCCCCTCCGCCGAGCTGCCGGTGGCTCCCAGCGCCAGGCGCCCGCCGGGCAAGCGCCGGATCACCGCACGCAGGTCCTGGGAGGTGCCGCAGATCGGGCCGTAGAAACTTCTCAAACCAGGGAACTCTGCCATATCTGGCCTTTTTTTGGGGTTCTCTTTTGGGAACTCTGCCATTTATGGCTTTTTGTTTTTTAAATGGGTTCTTGGGGGGTGCTTGTGTGGTTCCCGAAGAAAGCAAGTCGAATCAACGTGGGTATGTCTTTCTTTGAGGGTTCTTGGCGGTTGCTGTAAAAGTTTCACAATAGTAAGAATATAATTGAAATGAAGGTAGTCGTGGGCAAGAATCAAAAGTGATCAATGAATTTCAAACATATTATTAAAAAGAATACCGTTACGATAAACTAACAAAATAATCAAGATACTTTCAACTTCAATGATAAAACGGTGTGGCCCCAACCAGCCTGGTTTTAGTCCTGAGAAGTTGGCACCCAAGAAACAATCGCTCAGGCTCTTTGCAGTTTCTTTTTGTTCACATCGCGAAGGGAAGCTCACTTCAAATGGGCCCAGATGGCCCCAAAGATCCCCAAAGTGATGTGGAATGCCGATAGGAGCATAGGGAAAACATTTTCAGGTGGTGGTTCTGAAGTCGGTGAGGTAGCATCGCGCAGGCCACGGATCGCGTTTGGGAACTTGACATCAGACATCCCCGTGTCTCTCCTTTAGACACGTGGCCGCCCGAATCCGAACCAACAGAGATGTTTGAAGGAACAGGGGGAGGGCACCTTCATCTGCAAGTCCTGCACATGAAATGGCAATCTTAGTTCTTTGGCTGTGGGTCAAAACCAATGGGATCCCATTTTGGGGTAGCAGGTGCCCGCCCCATTTTAGCCTATTTTAGTGGGGATTGGGATGTTCACTGGGGGTGCGATTTGGCCATGGCGGTTTGGAGGTTGCCAAAGCAAACCTGCAGAAGTCCTTCTGCTTGCTGAACAACCGAAGGAATGAATGAATCCTCAGGCCTTGCTGGGCGGTCATCCGAGTCACAACTGTTGGGGGGGCTTCCTTGGGGATGAGCCAAAACAATAAATGCCCGCTGATTGATGGGTATGGCGGCTTCCCTTCAAAGCCAACAAGCCCGAGATGATTTAGTGTTGACACCTAGTTCACATACCATCCAAGATCCGAGGTCTGTCCTCCACGGGATCCGCCACGGCCTGGGTTGACCCCAAATCAGCGAATCCAGAAATCGGGTCACCAAACAAACTGAGCAAGTCATATGAAAAGCTATTGGTTCGCGGGTGCCTGAGCTTGAATAGGCGACCTCCTTTGGCTTGGTGTTTACAGGGCAGCTTTTTGGGGCGTCCATGTTGTGACTTACGGAACCACCCACAAGGAACCTTTGCCATGAGAAAGGTCATGTTCCCTTTTGACACGCTGTCAAGCGGGTGCAGACCAGTATGGACTCGCCAGAGTAATTGGATGTTGGGTTTCTTCAATTTAACATGTCGATGTTGCAATGCGCCATTCCTTCTGATTTGCAACATCCACAAACTGAAGTCTGGGTTCCCCAATGTTTGGTGTTTTGGCACCCGGGTGTGAGTGCGGAAGGGCTGCGGCCCCGTCTCTCATCCTCCCGCTAGAGCAAAACAATCGAATGCAAAAAGTGGAGTGTCCAAACCTCAGCCAACATTTTGATGTGTTGCTGGGACCCATTAGGTAAAACCCGGTTTAGGTAAAAGACCCACTTTGGGATTTGCTTCATTTGAGACCCTCCAGCCCCGGAGCTGGAAGGGGCCCTTCTCAAGGCGCTGGCCACATCGCCGGATCGAAGCTTCGAAGTCTCGCCCCTGCCGCACAGAACGACGCGGGCGTCGTGTGCAAATCCTTTGGATAGAGTGGATAAAGTGCCGTTACTAGGAAGGCAAGGAATCGGTATATAACTCTTTGGACGCACTAAGGACCTGAAAAATAATATGAATCTTGAATGCCCTGGACTGCACGCAAAGTCGGACCGGAACGTCACGGTCATTGGACAAGTGGAGCAAAGAACTATTCACCTCGCTCGCCCACTGCGCCTGACACCATCTAAGTCCACCAGCGGCGGCGGCTCGTCGTCCTGGGTGGGCAAAAAAGTCGTGAGGGAAGGCACAACCCAGTGGAAGGGATTCCCAACAACTAATTCTTTACTTAAAGGGGTAAGTAGCTGGTATCACAGAAGCGAGCTAACCCTCATTCCCACAAAACTGGCAACTGGAGCAACTGGAGCAAAAGGGGGAAAAAGGGTGGCGATAAAGCATGGATCCTTAGTTTGGCCCCATTCCTGGATACGCCCAGGGTAAGGCTAAGCCCTTAGCGAGGTCTGAGTGAGGTCATGCAGCCCCTGCGCCCCAGGCTTGCCTGACATGTCTGGGAAACAACTCGGCTGGCTACACCGGGCGTGCGACGAACAAGAAGCTTTGCCAACTGCGGTTGCGGTATGCCTCATGGTATTCTAAAACTTTGAAAACCCCTCGGAAATTATCAATGCCGGGGTGATGTCCTGAACAGCAAGGAGACCCCTTAAAATGTCGGGCTTCCGGTTGATTCCGAGCACGTTGCCAAAAGGGTCCCCAATTTATTCAACCCCAAAAGGGTCCCCCAAAAACATCCCCCCTTTAGGTTGCCCAGAAGTGGTCTTCTGGTTGTTTAAGCCGACTTAGCAAGTGGCCAATTTAGTCATATTTCCGATTTAACACAGTATCATAGGGCTCAAGATTCAATGGGTTCCCTGGGCAACTCTTTTTGGACAAATTGAGCCTGTACCATTAGGTCAGATCCATTTATCTGTATACATATTGAATATCAATAGCATATATATATATATGTTTGTGCCAATGTTCCCACCTTGTGGGGACAATATCCAATTTTTGGCACAAGGCCGAGCAAGCCTGGCAAACAGATGTCGACCTGTTGTCATATACATCATGCTGAGCATACTGACAGTCAGCGGCCGCAATCCCCATTTTGTCGACTTGCCAAGTTTGCAAATAGTACATCCTTCAACATGATTGGCATTAGAAACTGATAGGGGGATACCACAAACCACTGCCCTAAAAGTCTCGTCCGTTGCTCGCGTATGGAGTTGTGGAGGTTGCAACTGTTAGAGCTATATACACCTTAGGAATACCTGCCAAGTCTTCCCGTGTTTGTCAAGGGCAGGGTGTGTTCGTGGTTAGTGCTTGCAAGGCAAGTCAAACAGCTGGAACCCTGCCAAGCGATACGGATGGGAAACGAGCACAAGGCAACAGCACTTTGCCACTGTGTGTTGCTCACGCCGACTGAGTCAGTAGTCTGATCGCAAGGATTTCTGCCAGGTGTACTTTGATGAGAAGCATTGAGTTGGTCTCACAAAGGGCCACCGCCGCCCCCCATAGGCGTCCCTCCTTTGGTTGCCCTGTAAAAAAGCGCACCAAGGCTTCCCTCCAAATACACTAGCAGCTTGCAACTGTTGCCAGTAGGATCCTGCGAATACCCTTCCCACCACCCCCAACAACCAACACTGCGCAGGCCACGTCTCTAAAAAACCGGTAGGTGCTGTTGCGATTGGGGGACAGCTTTGGGGAAGTGGCCTTGGCTCTAGGGCTTGTTTTCGATGCCGGGCCCTTTAAGAGCTTTAAAACAAGCTTGACAGGCGCTGAATCCAAATCCAGGTCTCCTCTTCATGATCATCACCTTCCTGAACTCCATCTGCTTCTGGCTCTGACCTTGCTGACTTTGGTCCGACTCGCTCCATGCTTCGAACAAAACACTTGCAAACTTGCAATACTCGTTGTCGCCCAGGCACGTCTGCACGTTACGTTCCGATATCTATCTGGTTCACCGTGTGTCAATTCATGGCAGTTTGAACACGTTATCGTTTCTTCTCGATTTTACTTTCAAAGGAGAACTGTTGTTTTCCTTGCTTTTTCGCGGCTTTGTCTTCCATGTGCGGCTTGAAATGGTTTGGCAGCTCTGGCTAGCTGAACATCGCAACTGCTCAATACAAAAGCTGTGCACAAAGCAAACTTTGGCGGCTCCAGCTTGAGAATCGCAACCTCAAGTATTCAATGCAAATGCAGTACAGGAAGTACGCTTTAGCAGCTCCAGCTCGAGAAATGTTAGCAACTGTTCGGCCATTTGTTGGGCCCAACCAGCCCTGAATGGCCATCAACTCTGACCAGGTCTCAGCACCGGGCGATTGCTTGGGCAAGAGGATCGGCTTGTGCCTCTTCAAAGTGCCAAGTCCTGAAGACACAATCAAATCCCATGGTTGTCCAGGGCCCAAAGACAAGGACCCCCCCCCAAAAAAAAAAAAGAACCCCTATTGGCCACTACTAGGCCTTAGGAGTCGCTCTTAGCCTGTATTGGGATTGGGGGGCCCTGTCCCTTGACAACCATAGGATCAGAATCTGGTATCCAAGGGTCCCAAAAACCACATCTCGCCAAGTTCGGCTGTGATTGTAGCCCTGTGATTGAACAAGATCGGACTGGAAGACGTGTCAAGAACCACATATATGGACCACGAAGCAGCATTGGGCCAACCCCTACAAAAAAACTGTCAAGCCATCACTGTGGTGGTTGTATCGTTTTTTGGAGGGTACCCTTTTGGGGGCTGGCTTAACGGGAAACCACCAGGGTTCCGATTCCTGTTTTGAGACCAGCCCTTGTGTTGTGTGCCGAACATCCGTTTGGTTTCCAAGATTGGTCATGACTGAAACGTAGCCAAGGGGCCGGCTGACTCCTCATGGGTGGCAAGTCTAAGGGCTCAACAGGGGCTGTTGCAGTACCCCCTGGTTTATGGAGTCCACACGCATCACCTGTTTAGGCAAGTAATGCTTGCTTGTGTATAGTGTATATACACGTATATATATATACACTATATAAACACCATATATATATATTCACATTGCTGTGGATATGCGATGCGTACAGGTACAAACAGCAACCATTCCAGGTGCGGGGTCTTTGTTGGCTTGTCCGACAATAACCAGGCTCGGGGAGCATAGTGAATTCATGCTTGCTTTGTAACTATGGCTGACTGCTGTGCTTTTGTGCCAGCCTGGTGTGGCCTGATATTGCATCTAAAAGTGCACACTAATTATCAGGAATGCCACAATGCCTGTTGCGCGGATTTCACGACTAACCGGAGAGCACCGCACCCGAAGCGGGAAAACACGCCCTCCTTTCGCCTGCTGTTGGTGTCCATGTCAAATCCACCAACAAATAGTCCCTCACCTTGTGACACTTCCCAACAGCAAAGGAGTCACATCGGCTCCCCTCCGGTACAGCCTGGTCTTTAGCCCCACAACCCCCCAACCCCCCAGGGCGCCCAGCGAGTGAAGCCAGTGGGCGTGCTGTGGGTCAGTAGCTTGTTGATTTGCGGATGCAGGAGGAAGAAGAAGGGGAACATGCCCAGACCTTGGACTGGGTAGATCATATGCCTGGCCCATGCAAAGCCCCTTCAGCGGCGGTGGCAATGAGAGAGTTCCAAAGGGGGGGCACGTTTGAAAAAATCGGGTCTCCACGGCTCAGAATGATAAAAAAAGAAGAAAAAACACGGTGGATTGACACAAAACACAGCCAGCTTTGGGCCGGGGGAAACGCCGCAAAGTGGAAACCTGGAATTGGATGAACATACCAAGGTACCCGATTCCTGGAATTGGAACAGCCAGTAAAGCGGATGAACAACATCCTTTGGAAACCTCTGGTGTTCAAAGCCGTGCCACAGCAAAGAGATCACGAGAAGGCGGCCCACATTGGCCATGATTGCCTGAATGGTCCCTAGCCAGTAGTCGTTCCTGGCATATGACACTGCTGCTTTGGCTCCATCAGCGTGTGGAAACACAATCCGGGCCGAGAGATGTTTGATCACAGAATCTCTGGCCTAAACCGCAAAAGGGTTCAATATGTTCGCTTTGGGGGTGGAAAAAGACGATCAATCCCACATTTGCTCTCCTGCAGATTCACGATACACACCAAAAAAAAACATTTGGTAGGAATCTCCTGTTGGGGTATCGTTTCCATATATGATTTCTCATTTGCTCCACGAGGTTTCATCCATCCCAAGTGGTGCAGGATTGTCTCCATCCGTAGTATTGATAGTCTACTGTTCATTTGGGGAGGATATGCTGGGACCGCCCCATTTCACAAGCAGGCCCACCCAAGTTTCCTATGTCCTCTTGGGGAAGCCCGGAATGTTGTCCGGGGCTCAAATTAAACATACCAACCGCATGGTTTGTCCATCCACTGTACAGTTTTGTCACCTACAGTATGTGGCCCCCCACTGGTGGAAATTTGGACTTTGGCCACACTACTTGTCCGCAAACTAGCAGTGGACTACCACTAGTTTTGTCCATCGGCAGCTCCTGTGTGTGTGTGTGTCTCAACATGAGAATCGGTCCCCTAAAACATCCTAAAACAATAACGGTGTCCCGTTGTTTTCCCAACAAGTAAGTCATCTGGATTCCAAGCAGGCCAACTGACCAAATGGATGAAACACATAGTCCAATACCAGTTTTCCGCTGACCAACCATGTGGATAAACTCCCATCCCCTGTTTTGTAAGTGACTTGAGACTATGTTGACAAGGCTGCACTGAGCATGTCCTCTTTTTTTTTTGAGGGCACCAATCTTAGGGGTTGGTTTAAAGATTCCTATTTTGAGACAGACTCCACTATCTATTGGTGCGGGTACCCCCTTTTGTTGTGGCGTTGTCTCGGAAAACAGAAGAATCACCCATAACCATTTTTGGGCGGGGTCCAAGTCCCCAAAACAGCCCCACACGCCTCATATGCGGGTTGATCAATATTCCCGGCCCCCAAATGACCATGGGCAACTCTTCTTATTTAGTGGTTGACAAACTGTGTCACATTCCTTCAAAGGTTTCCCCCAGTGGTCATCCCATGGAAAGCAGCTTTTGATACACCTCCCACCGACTAACATGGAAGTTCACAGACCCCTGTAGAAAGACTACTTTCCCCTTAGAAATGGGGTTTGTGCACTTCCATGCTGGTTGGTGGGAGGGTAAACCTCCCTGTCTCGCGTGTCGAGTCGTCGAGTCGTCGAGTCGTCGAGCGACTGGAGTGCGGCTCGAGAGGCCAAAGATGGTCCGCGCCCAGAAGAAGTTCTCCGCCAGGCGCCACTGCAACACCTCCGACCGCCCCGCGCCTCGGCTCGCTCGGGGCTCGCTCGGGGCTCGCTCGGGGCTCGCTCGGGGCTCGCTCGGGTCTCGCTCGGGTCTCGCTCGGGGGGGGTTGGGAGCGCACAACCGAGGCGATCAAAAAACCATCCCGGGGCCACCGGGGATTGGAACCCATCCTCTCAATTCATCCGAAGTTCAAAGTATCATCCATCCCAACTATTCTTAAATATTTGGTCCATACCCTAGGATCCCTAAGACCTTGTATATGGAGGTTTTCGACAAAAGACCTGCCCCAGGGGGGGGTCCCATCAAGAACCTATATATTAGGGTCTTAGGATTGGGGGGGGAGGTCGGTCCAAAAATCAGAAAAACCTGTATATAAAGGCTTTTGGGACAAGGGCTCTGTGTTGGCTTGGTTTGAGTACTAGCTGCGTGCTTGCCCTCAGGCTCAGCATGGTTGGCAGCATGTTGGGGGCAATTATTGCAAAAAGGAAGCAAGTTGCCGGGACTTTTCGTGCCTTTTGTTGAGCCCGGCTGGAACAACATCTAGATTATATGATCTAGACATCCCTTTTTCTCACACAGCTAGCTGTACATGTGCACGGCGTGCAATGAAACGCGCCTTAGCGGCTGGTGCTCGATGGCACGCTGATCGAAAGCGACAACATGTACGAGATGCAGGCTGGAAACCACTTTTTTTTTGGGCAGTGCAAATTTGATCTTGATCAGAATCAGCGTGCGCAGCAAGCATGAGACGCGCGCTGACGCTAGCCATTTTCCATCACACAGGCCGTAGCAACCTCGGGGTTTCTCGGCAGTGGCCATGTGCAGTGCAGGGCCTTCTGGCAAATCCGATTCTTGTCAACGACGATATTTCTTGCGTGCTGCAACCCTGCTCGTTCTTTGTTTGCAAGTGCGCCCTTAGCCTCGCGCTGAACAATCTAGTGTGTTCAGCGCGAGCGTTACGGGGTACCCAGCCAAGCTTAAGGATGTGGAAGAAATGACGGAGTTCCTCGAGATTACCTTTGGCACTGTCCTGCAAACAGATTGGGCAGCTGTTCGTTCCGACAAGGTGCTGTGTACTGCGGGGGGGGGGGTGGATCTTAATTTACTCATTTGCCACACAAATTGAGGCGGGCATGCACTTGTGAAGAAGGGCTCAACATATCCCGGGGTGGAGGGTGGGGGCGTGCTTCAAAACGGGCTCTTCTGTCACCGCCATCCAGGAGAAGAACAACAAATCCCTCGTCCCCCTCGCCGATGAGAGCTTGGCCGGTGGCCATGTGTACCAAAAAGATGTGGCCTGTGCAGCACTACAAGTGAGTCAAAGTCAATATGGTATTGCCTGCATCTCACGAACTCAAGGCCTGTTTAGGCTTGCTGTTGCTGAGGTGGAAAGAAATTTCCTTTTGATCCTGAACACCTTGACCAAATTTGGCATGAACATCCCGCATGCTCGGACTTTTACCGCCTCTTGTAATTATAAGAAACCACATTGGCTTGGTGTGCAGGGCGTTGCGTTGCGCTAATAAGGAAGGGTTCAAGCGCCTGGATCAAGTGCACGGGATTTGGGGAGAGATGGCCAAGCTCAAGGGACGGAAGCGGAAGATCAATGAATCTTATCAAACATTACTCAGATTTCGATTGCGAACTATCTTTGTAGCATCCGGAAGTTGAGGACTGGGCCGCTATGCAAGGTGGCAGGCTCCGAGCCCTTGTCACCTACTGCATTCGAATGACAAGAAGATCACAAGGGGCGAAGTCTGAAAAAGTTCAGGCAATGAAACACTTGATTCTTGAATTGATGGGATCAGGGGAAGCGCCTCAGCTAGCAGGCAAGCTGCAAAATTGTTTGTCATCGTTCTGGAATTAATTTTTGGGTCGGCTGTCGCCTCCGCAAGGTGCCTATCGATGATGAGCAAACTCCCGTGCCCGCGGCTGATGAGGAGTCAGAGGGGGAGACCGTGGATGTGAACACGATGTCCAATTCATCTAGCCTTCGCGATTTGGGGGAACCACGGATGCAAACACAAATGCTTTTGGCGCCCCCTCCACATGGGTGGCTTTGATTTTCACATGCCTGGAAACCCCTTCCGGCACCATTCGCTAGGAAAAAAATGCCGAAGCCCTTTTACACGGCGTTTTCACAAGCGCCGGCAAATAGTAGCCGGATTCAAAACAGCCAGTTTTTGGCCAAGCGGGGGGTTATTGATTTATCCATCGATCCTGACCCTCAGCATGTCCTTCGCCGTTTGGGCACCCGGCAAAGGAAGTGGATGAAGCCCATCCTGGAGCTCCTGCGGAATCAACCGACGATCATACGCATGATCATCATCATGAGGACATGTACATGTATATGACGTTGAAGCTAGTTACACCTATACAAACTGTTTGCTCGATCAATCGCTAGCGCTATTGCGGAATCACGTTTGCAGGATGTATCCGCGGCCGTGGCAGCCATCGGCCTGAAGGTCAGTGATCCAAATCTAGCTGAAGAGGAGGACTGCGCAACCCGAAAAAAGGGATTGTCGCACTGTAACAAGGTTATTCTATACTTGCGGTTTGTTTGCGCAAGGATTCGGCCGCCGATGAAAATGATGGTGAGATTGGAACCTTTCAGGACTGCGTGGGGTTGCAAGAGTTGCCAACCAAGTGCTAGACCGCCCTTCCAGTTTGAGGCGCCCTTTTTGTCTGTGTTTGGACCCAAAATCGTTAAACAAAGGGCGCCGGATTTGGACTTCCCGTGGGATTATGCGCTAGCGTATAACCACAAATCTGTACGCGCAGAACCGGTTCACATATGCCAGGACGAGCGCTCCCTGATCCCCCTCGGCAGCATCAAGCCACCGAGCAAGGACGAGGAGACACCGGCTCAGCGCAACCTTTCTGCCGCGTTTGAGGAGGTGAAGGAGGATTTGTTTGGGGAGCAAGCCAAAATTAGGGCGCTTGAGAGGGCCAAGTTGAAGGAGAAGTGCAAGGGGCGCGGCCGGGGACGGGGCAGAGGTCGCGGGAAACAACACCAGCAGGAAGCACCAACGGCGGCGCAGCCAGAACAGCCCTGCGAAGCTATGCCAGAAATCGCAAAAAAAAAGAAACAGCGGCCAAGCAAGGCCCAAGCAGCAGCAGACAGGCACACCAGGGCAACGAAGCTGAAGCAGCGCAGCCAAGCCAGGGCAACGGCGCTGTGACAAAGAAGGCAAAGCGCGCGAGGCTTGAAGCATCGCCAGCAGAACCACCTGCGCGCGCAGTGAAGAAGCCTAGGGCCGCGCGTGCAAAGGCAAAGGCGGAAGCAACCAATTCCCACAATGACGCGCTGCTCGCCACCCCACCGCCCAAGCCCAGTGTGAGCGCTGGAGTGGACACACCGACGCCTGTGACGCATCCAGATGCAAAGGCCTGGGTACAACACTCAATATCGCTTTGTGTGCAGCGCGTAAGTATATAGGAACCCGAACTGGACAACTCGGACTCGGAGAAGAACAAAGCGGCTGCTGCTGCGCGTGTGGCTGCCGCGCGTGCTGCGCAGGTGCGGGCGTCTAATAAAATTAATTTGTTGTGATGCGTATGGTGAACGGCACGCACGCAGACGCGCGAGTATGCAGTCAACTTTGCTTAGGACGATCTTCGTCAGGCGGCCGGAGAGCTTACCGGGGCGATACTTCTCGGATTGCACATGCCAGTGCCTGCAAATAACACCTTGAAGCAGTGGCTTGCCTGCAATTAGCTATAGCTAAGAGATCGCTATACACGATGATACACTTGTGGCGTTTCAGCGGAACTAGCATGCAAACTACCGCTTGCTGAGCATGATTACACACGCGAGTCCGCATTGTCATGATCATCATGTTCTTGATGAGGTCATACACAGTTCGACCAGACCAGGGACTGGATGCAAATAATTGCAGCATTGGCATCATCCTGAAGACTCGCTCTTTCTACGTGTACAAGACCCAAGAAAACGATTTCACGAACCTAGTGATGCAATACTTTGACATCGGTGTGTTTTGGCATGATTGGTTGCACTGTGATCCATGACTAGCACGAACTCAGGAACCTTACAAGCATTTATATCGCGTGCTATTGCCTGCGTTCAGGTGAACAAGAAGGGCGGCTCCAGTGTCAATTGGCGTCACAGAGGCTCTGCGCAGGCGCAACTTGGCAAGCAGGCGACCGCTGTGTGCGTGGTTTGAGTGATGGAAATGCGGCATTTGCCAGTAAGGTTTCAGATTTCGCGGTATCTTGCTAATTGGGTTCAGCCTGCAAATGCACCGACGAATTTGGATGAGTTTAGGAAGCACGCTCGAAGCCTGTTCCCACCGCCGCGAGTTTAGGCATATTTAGGTTCAGCGCAAAGTGCTTCAATCCGGATTTGATCGAGCCGCAACAACTTGTTGCGCGTGGCTCGCGTTTTGTAGCAGCTCGGCATGGCGCATGGCCTTTTAAACAGTCCTGTTGTTTCACAATCGCATCAAATGACCTTTTTGTTTTTGAATATTTAATAGCAGCGCCGGTGAATTTTGGTTCAGCCTTGCAGCCAGTCGAGTTGTTTATTATCTCACACTGACTCAGTGTATTCTATGGGGTCTGCAGCCAGTTGCCGCACAACTGGAAGGGGGCAAACACGCATCTACGAGTTTTCCTCGCAATTGCCACACACCTTGCGCTCGCCTTGCAATTTCAATCGCAGCTTTCTGCACGGCAGCGCGAGCCACTGGATCGTGAAGTTCGATTTGAGTCACACATTACGAGCCACGAGCCATGCCGATGAGACGTGTGGTCGGCCCGCTGCAGCTTAGCCATACGGCTTTGCAATTGCTACTGCTGATGAAGGTGCCTATCGTTGTGTTTCTTAGCTGATTAGTGAGTTGCACGCACGCTTGTCCGGACCCTAAAGACTATTGACCAGGTTGCAGGCTTGTCACTATGTGGCTTCCTTGGCGCCCAACTCCAAGCGGGACTGACTTTCAGATCATGTTGTGCGAAGAAGCAAAGCGCTGACGTTTAAATTTGAGCACGTGCGTTATGT